TTCATGAGAAACCCAAAACTGGCTAATAACAACAATGTAAATTTTACAGAGTGATTCCTACAAACATGGCTGCTATAACCTTAAGTGCTCTGGTTTTATACAAACCAGTAGCAGTATTGTCATTGGAGGTTCGATTACTCCTGTTTCTTCTTTTGGAGGTAGCCAGTATGAGATTACCATCCTCGTATGGAGGGTTAGTTTCTTTATTTTTCTCATTGAGTTTATACCCTTTATTGTGTATTCTATATTTTTCATGTTAAAATTATATATATTCTTGGTTTTTCTTTTGTAGGATCGCATATCTGGGAACTGGTGGTTGAGCTTAGGTTCGAACAGCTCTGTGATAGGATACTGGCCGGGAGAACTTTTTACGACTTTAGCTGATCACGCGGTCGTCGCAGAATGGGGCGGAGAAATCTTAAACTCGGCAAGTCACGGGCAACACACGAAGACTCAGATGGGGTCCGGCCACTTTCCGGCCGAAGGATTCAGAAACAGTAGCTATTTCAGGAACATTGAGATGGTAGATAAGAACAACAGTCTCCAGACGGTTCAAGACTACGAAAAACTGGTAACGCAGCCTGAATGCTACGATATCAAGACGGCCTACACAGATGAGTGGAAGAGTCACTTCTACTACGGAGGACCAGGGTTTAGGTCAGGTGCCGTTACTAGGGTAGTAGATACTAGGTTATTTTATATCTTGTTGTTTAGCGTATTTCTTATCGTTTAGTCGTTTTGAACTTTGTCTTGTAAATATACCTTGTTTATTGTGATCTAGACGAATATGCAACTCTCAATGTTCAAAGCCACCTTTCTACTTGGTATTTGGTACTTAATGGTTCAAAAATCACAATAGCAAAAACGCCAATAAAATATGAGAATCATGAGATATATACTATATTTTTATTTTTTGATCAAACGAATCATGAGATTTATGTACATACATAGGATTTGAGGTAAATAAAGTAAACCAAGTACAAAGGAAACATGAAAGGAAAACACAAAATGACTCTCCATATGCAAAAAAAAAAAAAAAACGATTACAGTAGTTAGCCAATGCAAGTACATGAAAACTCTAAACACCGAATTTGAAGTCTGCTTATGTGGCAGTCGGTGCGTCCTTTTTGTCTGAATCGTCCCAAGTCTCTTTTGATGAAGACCTTATATGAATGAACTAAGAGCAATTCTGAAAACATCAGTTAAACTTGAAACAAATGGGCTTCATCTTCTTCATAGTCCTTTCTTCAAAGTCAGCAATAAAAGAATCCATCAAACATCAACTAACAACAAATGCAAAAAGCGAACATAAGAAAGAACGTTTAATCTGTTTTATGTCATCAAAACGCCTCGAATAGTGCAAAGAAGATGAATCACATGACTCTTGTTTCCCCATCTAAATACCTTGTAAGAAGACTTAGATGTTCCTACAAAAGATTAAAGACATAGAAAACAGGGTTGTCTAAAGTGACAAACATAAACAAGCCTCACTCATCTCAAAAATGAGGATTACGTTACAAGTACTTGTCTGACCAAACGTTCTCGTAAACGACTCTAAACTGAAGAAATGAAAAACTTTGCTATTTCACACATGTTGAGGTCACCTTTCAATGCCAACCAAAATGCAGTCTCCACGATTTTTCTTTTCACAGAGGAACCAAAAATGAAGGCAAAATCTTGTCACAATATTCCTTATCCTATATTCGAAATTGTGTGATAAGGTTATGGAGAATAAACCTGGATTATCACTGCTTGTCAAGAATTACGGACAATGAATACGACGGCGCAGGAATGGCGGCTGTTGCCGGACCATCAGGTTTTACGGATCTGAAATGTGGCGGAACGACCGAACAAAGAAGACTCAATCGGAAGAATAGACGGTGAAATTGACGAAATCAATCGACTCAGCAGCGAGCGAAGAAAAACTCTGATGCCCATTTTAGGAGATGGAGAATCCCAAGGAAGAAGAAGAGGAAAGTGGATTAAAAATCAAAAACCAAATTGGGATGGATTTTCAAGGATAATGCAAAAAGCACTCTCAATTAAGGATCACAAGGAAGAACCTTCAAATACGCCCGAGTCCTCGGCTTGAAAGAGATAAAGAATCGCTTCGGATTCGCAGGAATTGATCAAACCAATCAACACAAAGATCGCTCAGAAGGAAATCTATGGTCTTCGAATTCAAGTCTGTAAACTTTTTGGTCTTCGAATTGAACCGGGCTTTGCATTTCCGGTTTAATCAAAATCTTTACCCAGACAATAAATGAATGGGGGAAGAGATTAATTTAACAAATATGGATTTTTTGTTTTCGGTAGTGACTAATTAATAATTTAGATTATAAAAGACCAACGTTGAAATAATTAGTTTTTAAATAAAATCCATGGCACAATAAAAAATACTGTATAGTTGATATACACATATATTAACATACATTAGCATACATTTTACATGCATATTTCCATCCTATTGGCCTTATTCTCATACATTTATATCCATATATCTCTATCTATTCACATGCATCTTCATTAGGACTTGCATTGCATATACATTGCATTTTGAGTCTGAATCAGGTGCTTAATGGAGCTTTTGGAGCCATTTGGGAGAAGGAGTGTCGGAGACGTCAAGACAAAGAGCAACCGGGATGCGAACCAGGATCAGAACCCGTTTGTCGCCTTACAAGCTTTCTTTGACCAAGAAGAGAGTTGACCATGCCTTAATGAAACGCAGCGTTCTGGAGCTTAAATCTTGGAGAAGGAAAGAAGAAGGGTTTTAGAGTCCCACTATATAAACTAAAAAGTCCTAAGTTTTTAGGCATCTTGTAATTTGTCTTTCATTTTGCCACCAAGAAATACTCTAGTTCGAGATCTTAGACTTTGTAAGCTTTGATTTTCTCTTTAATCAAATCACGTACTCGTTTACTCGTTTGATTACCTTGCATCTCATTTACTTGTAAACAACCTTCCTCTTATGAGAATCGGGTTGTCAAACAGGATGAGTGAGTAGTCTTAGATCGTTTTAGGTGATTCGGTTTTGAGAGCTTTAAAGGAGAGTTTGAGCTTAAAGCTAGGACCTTTAGAGTTTCTCCTTGCTTAGTGCCCTTAAGGCTGAGTCATTTCTGATCATCTTGGCTCAGATCTCAAGCTCTCAACACATCAAAAGTGTGTTTGAGGAGCTAGATAATCTAAGACAAGGGATCCGCTTCTCTAGCTCGCGATAGCGACTTGTTTAGAGGGCTTTTTGGTGATGGGATCTGCGTTTAAAGCTTGCTTGGTACAAGCTCACTCACGATAGTGAGCTCTTGAGTTTGGACCTTGCATTCGAGCTCATTCACGATAGTGATAAGCTCTTGCTTTCGTTTTCCTTAGCCTAGAAACTCGGTTTTATCTTCTAAGTCTTAAAGCTTCTCTCCTTTAGCTCGATTTCCATCCGAAATCACCTAAAGCCATCGCCTTTCTTCATTTTCTATCAAAGTTCAAGTCTTTTAGCTCAAAGTCGATTTCTTTCCTCTTTGAATTTTGGATTTGGACCGTTATTTCACTGTTCTAAGTTTGTATTTTACTGTTTAACGTTCGGATTTCATAAAAACCAAATCTTGTTCTTGGCTTGAATTTTCTTGTTCAATCTTTAAAACCCAATCTTCTCCAGATTTGGATTGATACCTTAAACTATACTGCAATGATATGAGCAGAGATTTGAGGGTTTGGATCTACTAAAAATCTCGTTTTCAATAGTTTTATTGTATTCAACTTTACCAAGTACAATTGAAAGCTTAGAATAGGAATCATTTGAAAAAAAAAAGACAAAACATTTAATTATCGGATCCTCTTTTGTCGGTGCAACAGCATATTCCAGATCTTCCATCTTTTCCATTACAATACCCTGTTCTGTACCCATCCACCGAACAGTCAAAGGAACATTCATATAGTTCGTACTTTCCGGGCGTACATGGATAACGGCAACGATCAGGTTTATTCCCTGCATATGTACAATTCAAGTTAAAATTATCACTATACATATACCATAAATGATGTTTAAAAAAAAAATTACTTAGAAAACATGAAGAATACACATTCAAATAAATGGTGATTCAACTTTTTTATTATTTTTTGGAATGAAGGTGATTCAATTTTTTTAAGAATAAATGAAAAAAATCAACTATTTCTCTAATGATAATAAACAATAATAATATTTTAGAAGAATTGACTACTTATACCCGATGCGGCCAAAACGTAATACTTGGACAACGAAAGTACCGATAGTATTACAAGAAACAAAGTGATGAGAGTTTTTGTGATATCCATAGTATAAGTTTTGTTTCTATGGAGAAGAAAAAAATATAATTCCTTAGTTCCCATGAAGAATTATACTATTTATACACAAATCTTTGTCGAGAAAGGTCTCACTTTACTATCCAATATTTATTAGATTTTGACCGGAATTAAATCTTCCATATATATATATATATATATATTGCACTTTTTGGGAAATATATTTATTATACATGCCAATTCAATGAAACACAATAAATACAATTGAGAAAATTACATATATAAATAAATGTTTATGTGTGAGAAAGAGCTTTTCATTAGAAAAAAATCTTACAAAAATGACCATTTACTCCTATGATTTGAGTAAATATATATTAACACCTATGATTCTCAAAGTTGGAAAAAACTGAAATTACAATCAATATCATCTAATGCAATATCTGACTGGAGAAGATACTGTTGAAGTCTTTAAATGAAAAAAAAATATTGGAAAAGTTGAAATCAAAATATTGCAGTATATTTCAAAATTGCTGAAAAATACGCTCGTTGTGGTTTTCTTTGTCAGCTCTTAGCATTACAATTTGGATACTCTGTTTATTCTTATGTTTGCTTTTTACTTTTAATTTTTTTCTGTATTAAATACTCTGAGTAATTTTTTTTTTCCCCAAAATTAACTTTTATGATTTTCGAAGAAAATGTTTTCCTTTCTTAACCTTCCAAAGATTGTTGTGGGAGTATAATCGAATGCAAACTTCACCAATCCGAAGTCACAAATATGTTCTTCGGTTTCAGGCCAAGGTACAAAAGATATTAACAACAAAGACTAAAATCTCCAGCTAAGGCAAAGTTGAGAAATACTGGTAGGACCAAAATTCAAAAGGCAAATATCTAGCTATAACTTGATGAAGATCCGATTCCCTGATCTCTAATCCTAGTCATGAAAAATATTTTAATGAAATAATTAGAGATAACGACTCACACAGGTCATTATCCAAAGATTGTGAGTTCACAACTCACGCAAAGCCAGTATTTTTTCACAAATACAGGAACACAATCAAATGCAAAAGGTTCAAATAGATGATGATCAGAGCATATAGAATCTGATGCTAAAAGGGAAAACATATGGATACAATCGTGAACGAAAAATAAAATCTCTATACGATACATATTGTCTTTAATTATGGTATAATCCGTTGTTCGGTTGTTGTTGGACACTTGTAACGTTCAACAGCTCATAAACAGAAATCAGAATTGCAATTTCCACAATACGGCAAAATTTAATTACCAACGGAGAACTTCATGAATGTTGAGCCGTTTGGGCTCCTCTTTTCTCTAATCGTTTGTAGCAGGACCTTTTTAGGCAATCTGGACTTTTCGTCAAAAAGACAAGAGAAAAGTTTCTTGCACCCATGCAGAAGAAAACTTATTTTAGGCTATTTTGTATTTTCGTCAGAAAGACAAGAGAAAAGTTTACGTTTCCATCGCTTTGTACATCCTGTTTTGTCTCAAAAATACTTCTAGATCATGGGATTTCGCGAGAAGCATGTGAAAAGCTTTGGATTAGAAGTGTACGATTAATACAATACAAATTTAAACGTAGAAAGAGATGAGAAAGCTAAAAGGAATAAGAGAATCTTATGATTTTTTTTTTAATTAATATCGTTGACTTTAATAAAAGCCATAAAACGAAAATATTGCTTTTATTTCTTTAAACTTATTTGGTAATGTTTAGAACTAACAATAGAAAAGTCAATTTTTGGAACCCAATACCAGAATAGGAAGAAGATCTAGCGGACGCAACAACAATGTCTGTTTGGAAGACATGCTCCAAAGTTGTACCCTTTCTTTCTCTTAGTACAGTCATGTTCGCATTCAAAATTCTCGTACCTTGCTGGTATGCATGTCCGACGAGGCATGTAATCTTGTGGCCCTGCACCTATACCAACCAATACAACCAACAATAAAATTATCATTTTATATATACCATGTCTACATAATTGGTTTTCTGAAAGAAAAAAAATCAAAATTACTAAGAAGGTGATACACACACATATAAATGGATACTGTTGATTCTATATATTGTTTTTAAAACAATCTTCAACTATATTGCTCTGAGAATGATCAAAAATAATTTAAAAATTACAAAGTTAAGAAAAAAACTTTTGTAAGAAGCATCATACATGGGTCGGCCAAAACATTGTAGTTAGACATCCCAATTGCCAATGTAATTACAAGAAAAAAAAGTAGCAACGGTTTTTAAGATAGCCATTATTTATTTTCTATGGAGTATATGATTTTTTAGTTCTTCACAACGAGTCCTATTTATATGAATTTATGTAAAAATAAAAATTTAATTTCTTTCCTACTTTTTCTTTCAATCATAAATCAAAGTTCCATTTTTGCTGTTATTTGTATATATGCATATCTAGCATAATTCTTTATTTAGTTAGTGTGAATTATTACAAGAACAGTAGTATATCGTAAATACACAATCAAAGATATACTTTTAATATTAACAGTGTATACTATATAGTAATTATTATTTTAATTTTTATATACCATAGGCCCAGATCTAATAGGGATATAAATCAATAAGAGTTGAGAGAGATAAAAAATAGTAAGAATCATAACTCTTTTCTCATAAGTCCATGACAAACCAATGAAACTACCACCCAATTGCGTCATAACCTAATCGTTTGTAATAGGACGACCCCTTTTTAGGCTATTTGGTAAGACAAGAGAAAAGTTTATGGCACCCATGCAGAAGAAGACTTTATTTTTAGGCTATTTTGGATTTTCGTCAGAAAGACAAGAGAAAATTTTACGTCTCCATCGCTTCATACATTTTGTTCTTTCTAAAATTTGGTTTCAGATTCCTGTTTAATTATGTTTTGTCTCACAAATACTTCTAGATTATGGGATATCGCGAGAAGCATGTGAAAAGCATTGGATTAGTAGTCGTACAATACAATATAGATTTAATCGTAGAAAGATATGAGAAAGCTAAAAGGAACAAGAAAATCTTATGATTTTTAATAAAAGCGATAAAACGAAAATATTTCTTTTATTTCTTTAAACTTAGTTGGTAATATATAGAACTAACAATAGAAAAGTCGATTTTTGGAACCCAATACCAAGATAAACATCATTCATCAATTATGAAAATTATCATTTATAGGAAGAAGACCGAGTTGTACTGCGGAGACAACAACAATGTCCGTTTGGAAGACATAAACCATATGCGTACCCTTTCTTTAGCTTAGTACAGTCATGTTCGCAATCGAAAAAGTCGTACCATCCTTCCTTACATGTACGATGAGGAACGTAATCTTGTGGCCCTGCACCTGTACCAACCAATACAACCAACACTAAAATTACGATTTTTTATACCATGTCTACATAATTGTTTTTCTAAAAAAAAAAAAAATTAAAAACGTGATACACGCACATATAAATGGTTATTGCTGATTCTATATATTTTTTTATTAAATTATCAACTATATTGCTCTAAGAATGATAAAAAAATAATTGAAAAATTAAGAGAAACTTTTGTAAGAAGCATCATACATGACTGGGCCAAAACATTGTAGTTCGACGTCCAAATTGCCAATATAATTACAAGAAAAAAAGTAGCAAAGCTTTTTAAGATAGCCATTATTTGTTTTCTATGGAGAAGAAATATGTTCTATGAATTTCTAGTTCTTCACAACAAGTCCTATTTATATGAATTTCTATAAACTCTTTTTCTCTTTTACTTTCTTCACAACATTTCCCCATATGGAGTAGGTTAGTTCATGCATTACACACTCCGCTAACATATCTGAAGCATTTGCTTTTTTTTTTTTTTTTTTTTTTTTTTTCCGACAAGAAAGTAACATCATTTAATTTGCCAATCGAGATGACTGGAATATTTACAATGTTGAATTTTCACTGATACATAGTTTCATCTGGTTCTGTTTAATTGGTCTGTTACTGACATATCTAATGGTGTGCTATCAATCAACCCAGATCATCTTTCCCCAGAATATCTAGGAAAAGCTTAGCATAATATGTGTTAGAGATTAGCAAAAGCTGATGTAGTAAGTTATCTGCAAATCTAAAGTTATTCGGGTACCAAAATAAGTCCGACAAATTGGAAGCTTTAATTATATATCCTATTTTCTTGTTTTGGATTGTAGTCTCACGTTTCTCTAGTAACCATCAAGTAGTGCAAATCAATTTCCCTTTTGTTAATTCTTGTTTCTTTTTTTGATACAAGTCTGAAGTCTCTACCAAGAAGAACCAAGTAGTAGTGCATAGCTAAAAAGGAAAAAAAAAAGATAGAAGTAGTGCATAGCTTCACCTGGCAAGTTTCCAAACCCTAGTGTTTAAACCGGCCACAGATAATAAGAAATTATTTCGTCACTTATCGAGTACGTTTCCGGCCATTGTGGATGTATACTCCGTAAAAGCTCTTTGCTTTGTTCCTATATTTCAAATTCATCATTCTCAGTTTCCAAACGATGAATTTGCTCGTTATCTTCTTCATCTACGCCATGTATCCACATGTGTGCTTCTCCATGAGCAGAAAAAGGACAAACCCATCAAATTATATAACTGATATTATTTTACTAAACTAGAAAGAGAACTAACTATACTCCGGAATTTCAGTTTGGGCCAGAAATATACAAAATTAACAAGTATGATGACATTGTAACATATAGACTAAGAAAATGATTTCTAAAAGTATACATTACCAAAATATAATGAATTCGTCATTTTTATTATGTTTTGCTTATAATTCACATATGTTTTGCTTAAAATTTACTTATGTTATGCTTATTTTTTTTTCAGCAATTAGGACTACAAACAAAGTCTAGAACAATCGATCCCAAGTTTTAAATTCATCATTCTCTTTTTTTTAACGTTTTTTTTTTCATCTACGCAATGATGCCACATGTGTGCTTGCCACATCTGCTCTTACAATCAAAAAAAAAAAAAAAATCAAACTGAAAGGAGAGACCTAAATATGATAAAATATTAAGCCTAAGATAATGAATCTCATATGATGAATCTAAATAACATATCGCAAATCCTTTTAGATCTCCTTGTTAGAATTATGGTTTCATGAGCTTCAATCTGTTACTAAAAAGAAAAGATTTATATACCCTCTTTTTTTTTGCGAAGAATTGTTTATGGTTGATACCATATCTGATCTTCTTAAATCTATTAGCTACCAAAAAATGAATTTTCTGTTCCAAAAGTGAGAGAAATAGAATTAGTTATGCGTATGACTAGATCTAATTTGCAGAAAATAATGAATAATCATTTAATCATTAGAGCTAATAGAACTAAGATCTAGCAAAAATAATTAACATACATGAAGAGAAGAAATAAGAACTCAAAGAAATAAAATCATGTATAAAAAGAAGAAATGTAAATTGTGATGATTTTGTTTATTGGTATCTATTTATATAGGAGATAGTCGGTAAAAGAACCAAGGGTTTGTTCCTCTTTTTTTTCTCCAAAATTGTGAAGCGATAATATGGTAATTAAATTATTTATCTTTATTTTTTTTTAATAAACAACCAAATTCATGAATAATTAAAAAAAACTATGAAAATTTAATCTAAAACATATGGGTAATCAACTGGCTAAGAACGAATTTAGTGTCTTAAAACGATATTCTGACATTGCAAATAATGATATGATATTTATCGTTAAAATCATGGTTTATAGATTTTTATTGCGGATACAACAACATTCTCCAATAGGGTTTGGAAGACAAGTTCCATAATCGTACCCTTTGCCTTTCGCGATACAGTCATGGACGCATTCACGATCTTCGTATCTTCCTGCCACACATTGAGCAATGTAATCCGCTTGCCCTGCACCTATATAACCAACAATTAATAATATTATCATTCTATATATACCATGTCTAAATAATAGTTTTCCTATAAAAATGGAAATTCTTAAGAACATGATACACATACATATAAATGACAATTGCTTATATAGATAATTGTTTATAAAATTCTTCAACTATATTACTCTAAAAATGATCAAAGATAATTTAAAATTACAAAAAAGAAGAAAAAATCTTTTGTAAGTAGCATCATCATACATGATGCGGCCAAAACGTTGTAGTTAGACATCCAAATTGCCAATGTTATTACATGATGCGGCCAAAACGTTGTAGTTAGACATCCAAATTGCCAATGTTATTTGAGATATACATTATATATTTCTTTTATTTTCTTCTATGAAGAAGAAATGAGTTCTATGATTATCTAGTTCTTCACCACAAGTTCTATTTATATGACTTTATGGAAAAAAGAAAATTAATTTCCTACCCAATTTTTATGTTGACCAAATGTCCATATATGCTGATATTATCATTTATGGGCAAAAGTATATTAACACTTACTTGTATATATTTGGATTTATAGCATGATTCTTTATTTATTTAATTAGTGTATATTATTAAAGGTACAATATATTCAGTCAATTTTTTTTTTACTAGCTTTACTATATATAATAATATTGTACACAAAACTCGCTCTTCATGAGATTTAACAAATTATTGAATTTTCTTTTGATTAAAAAAGAAGAAGCTAGTATATGGTTTTTGAATTTCTAATGGAACGATTTACTTAAAGTCTGCATTTAATTGATTGCACATTAGATTATTGTCTCTAATCCCCATCAATTTGATCTCAGCTTAATTATCATCAAATTTACTGATCTAAATTCCAGCGACTATTTTTTAAAATATTTTTACGAGGCAAGTAGCTTCAGGCTTGAACATTTAGGCTTGATTCGAAAGAGAAACTATGCATTTTTCTTTAGCAGCGAAAACATCCAAATGTAGAGAAGAAGAAACTGAAACAGACGACTAAACTCATAGTCATATATTTAATAAAATATAGATTAAGGTTCAAGAAACTACTGAAAACATACAACATTCTTTTTATTGGATATTTTTTTGGTCGCAAGAGAACTCTTATGCCCATACTTACCCTGCAAAACAAATTAAACAAAAACAAAAATGATGAATATCGCAAAGTTGAGAGTATTAAGAGAAATCAAGAAGATGGATATTGTGTTATACTATTGGACACAAGTCTTATTATTGAAGAAGAAAAAACGACATTTGAAACACCTAATTGAGTGATTTAGTCTAGAATCAGCCATTATCATCCTTACATCACACAAAATCAAAACTTTGTTCTTATCTACCCCATCTTCTCACACCAAAACCATAATCTTTAACTACATTATATGATCTCAACAAGAAAAGGAGAAAAAACCTAGGGCTTTGCATCAATCACAACCTTCCCAAGATTACTTATTCTACAATTCCAAATTACCAATCCTCATCTCATACACACATTTTCACTTCATAATGAAAATGTCAACTGCTATATCATACCTGAGAAGGTGAATCAAGCAGCAGCAGATGGAATCATTCCGGCTTTCCTAGCATAAGCGAAGATACCTCCGGCGTCAATAACCGGACCGGCGTCACCAATCGGCTTCAGCTTATACTCTTTCCCCGTCGTATGATTGATCAGAATGCTATCTCCTTCCCTCAACTCAACCGTCGCAACGTCCCCTGTCTTACACTCATCACAAACCCTAACCTCCGAATCCAGCGGGTAAATCTCTCCCGTAGCCACCGAGTTCCTGAAGAAGATTCTCGCGTAAGACTGAGCCACCACCGCCTTAGCTCCCGCCGCTCCGAGACAGACCGGAGCGTGCTCACGAGACGATCCGCACCCGAAGTTCTCGCCGCCGATGATGATTGAGTACTTCGTCTTCATCTCCCCTGGCTGGACGAATCGCTCCTTGTAAGCAGCTGGAAGTCCGACGAGCGCGTAGGATCCGAGCTTCTCGTACTCGTCGGGATTCGAAGGGACGAGGGTGAGAAACTCTGCGGGGATGATCTGATCGGTGTCGATGTTGTCGCCGACGACATAGCAGAGTCCGTGAAAGGTCTTTCTCTCCTGAGGCTCGGCGGCGGAGCGCGCGACGAACGACGACGATGCCTCGCGAGATACGAGGGGTTTGAAATTGGATGAGGCGGAGGCGGAATCGAATCTGAGAAATGGAGATCGGAATTGAGCGAAGGAGGATCGGTTCGGAGAAGCTAGGGTTCGGGAGGAGAGTATAGGGTTTGCAGATTGAAGAGAAGCCGCCATGGTTTCTGTTTTGCTAATCGTGAAATGGAAGAAGCAAACAAATCAAAAGACTCGATTATATAAAGAGGTAATTTACCAAAACGCCACTGTCTTTGTTAGTGTGTATGCTTTTCAATAATTACACTTTATTTTAAATGTTTTGTAACGTTTTCACGATTTGTTATCATTTATGCTAAAGTAAATTTGGTGGTGGTGGACTGGTGGGGAAGTGAAAACACTCAAAACAGTCAAACACCCTTATATTCATGTATGTAAGTGATAGATTCTAAAGTGGAAGGGTCAAAAAGAGAATAAATCAAAACTCTGAGATTCTATAACATTTTTTCAATATGTGGTATTCTTTGGTTTGGTTTTTAAAAAGTTAAAGTCCTTTCAAGAAGTAGCTTTTTGCCTCATCCATTTAGTAGCCGACCATTTCTCTCCAGACAGAACTTCACATCCCCCATGTATGCTCTTCGGATCTGACTGTCCGTCCAGTCCCTGAATATAACACACAAGAACAAAATTGAACACAAATCTGTCCATGTTTGTGACAAACGAAAGAGAGAGAGAGAATGAAGAAACAAACCATGCTCCAGAAGAGAACAGCATCTCCTTTTGTGGGTTTCACAGAGATGCCTTTCATGATTTTGCCACCACAAGTGCATTCACCATCACCAGCCTGCAAGAAGAAAAGAAGAACCAAATCATTTATTATATAAATGAAAAACAATTTGCACAGCTAAAGAGTCTCCCTAAGAGTAAGAAGAACTATACCAAAGGGAAATAAGTTTCTCCTCCTTCAACGTCATCGGTTAGATACATAAGCATAGTTGCTACTCGCTGACCACCACGTTTCAAATTGAACTGTGTGGAACAAACACACAAGACAAAGAAACTAAATGCTCTAAGATGATAAAGAAGGAGAAGATAAAGGAAGGATCAAACCAAAACCATACACTGTTTGTTCCCGCACTAATGATATATATAAATGGAACAGAACCGAAGACTTACAGTGTCACCAAAGTAATCGTGATGCGGTCTGTAAAACTGTTTTGGCTCGTATCTGCACTGCATCAGATTTTGAATGATACATCAAATCAAGAAAACAGCTTTAATTTTTAAAAGGGGAATATGGTTTGCACTTGTGGACGCACTTTAGTACTTGAATGAGTTCACCATTTTCCGCTGGTACTTGAGAAAAGACTGAAATTCGCTTTTCAATTGCCTAAAATAGCAATAAGAGAAAGGAATATAATGTCAAGTTGATCAACTACGAAATGACACACCTATGTAAAGATGTTAGAGAGAGATGACTTACCTGTATTATTGGATAACTTCTTTCTACGTGAGTTAGAAACATTCCAGAGCTTGTTCTTACATCACTTTTAACTCCCTAAGCAAGAGGAAAGTTGTAATAAGAGAATGGATAAGACTTTGAAGGCGTAACCAGAGCATTTCTACTTGCTTCCAGTGTTTGATTATAACAATACTTTGAAGCTATTGTTCAGTACCTTTCCGGTTTTAATATCAACAACAGTGGAAATCTGAAGGCGAGGCCTGGCGATTGCTTTTAGGTATTCACATTCCTGCCAATATACAATTCAGGAGAAACCAAAAAAACTGTTCAATGGCAAGAACAGAATAGTCTATGATACTGCTCTTGGCACTGAGCCTAAAGGTTTTGATCTCAAATCTAATCTTAGGGCCTACCATTGCTAAAGTAAAACTTATTTACATACCTCTGAGCTAAGAAAGTTATGAAGCACAATAATTCGAGGGGACCAACTAACTACTTCAGGCTTGACCTGCACTAAAGCAAATGAACATTAGCTGATAAATGGATATGAATATTTTGAGGCAAAAACATTTGACCCTGAGAAAAAGATAATCAATTGAGATAAGACTTACATATCCAATCCGTAACAACTCTGCGTCTTTGTCATTTGCCCACCGGGAAACATCTGAAAAACAAACGAGTCTTGTCATAATAAAATCCACAAATCAAGCTCTCCAAGAACAGTCTTTGTCCTAAAGCATAGTCAAGAATGAAATTTAGCAAGAAATGATCACACAGACCTCGGAGATAACGAGAACTCTGTCCCCGGAGCCCTCTTAAGGATGGAAATCCATTTCCTGAAGATCATGTAACCGTGTATTGCAGTTATATGACCAAACCTACATCTACAAGTTTAACACACAAACAAGATAGGAAGGAAAGAGGAGTTACCGTACGAGTCTTCCAATCTATTTATAAAGGCCAATTGTAACAAGGCACCTGCAGAGAGAAACACAATCTCCATGAGTTATCAAAGCCGTTTCAGAGTCAACTTCATAGTCGTCGTCTCCGAATGAAAACAAACCCAATTTTCCAACTTAGAATCTCTCAGCAATAACAACAACAATCAATTTCCACTGGGCGAAATCGTTTGAAAATCGAAGATTTTATGTCGAAGATCGAAGAAAGGCGAAATGAGATTTACATAGGCGTAATAGTTTGCGTACAGACGTCGACTATAAATAGGGTGAGAGAGAGAGAGAGTACCGATGAGCATTCCGAAAGTGACAAATGTCAAGAGACCGAACACGATCTTCATGGCGGGAGCCATGTCTCCTTGTTCTCGATCTCCGACAAGAAAAAAACAAAACTTGAGAGAGAGAGAGATAGAGAGATTAGTAACAGTTCTTGCAGAAGGGAATGAAGAAATGGAAAAAGAGGAACTTGAGATTTGGGTGGAGAAACGTCAGAGGAGTTTCTTTGAGGGATCTCTGGGACTCTTTAAAAAAAATACCTTTATTTTTTTCTTTGCTCTTTCTTTGCTTCCATTCTTCTGTTATTTAATGTTTTGTTTTTTTAGCTTTATTTTTGAATATCCAATTAATTTAGTCATCAACTCTTTTTCTCATTTTACTTTCTTTTTGGAGAAAAAATATTCATCGTGTTTTTGGGTCTTAATTTCAGGGATCAGAATTAATTAACGAGACCAAACATGTCTAAATCATTGTTTAGAAGAAAATCTATATCATAAATAGCTCAAAAATAGTTGACAGAAAAAATTATGCGACATACAATATAAAGGAGCACAATAATGTTTTTTTGCAATAATACTAGTTCAGTTTTTATAATATACTGTATCTGATTTGAGTGATATTAAAGTATATTTGTTACTAGGCTAACATTTTCCTCTCTATGGTGATTAGGATCGTGTTTGAGCTTAACTAACATATAATGAGTTGTTTAAAACTTTATAGAACAAAATGGACTAGCTCTCAGCTATCACACTAAACAAAAAGGGTAAAATTTTAGTTTTTCTTGTAATATATTTTCTACGTTAGTTTTTATAAATCAAATTGTGTCTTAAAATGTTGCTGATTTTGGGATTGTCGATTTTAATCGGCGGTGTTTGTCACTCACTAGTTAACATCTTGTCACTAGTGATGTTATTCTTTTAACCCCTATCTTAGTAACTGACGACACCTACAAAGAACACATTAAAAATTGAGACTGCCTAATTATCTAACCAGCCAATAATTCTCCAGCTGAACTGTGCTAATGGTTTTTTGTCTGACAAGTCAAAATACATCGTGGGGATATGAAGCCTGCTCAAAATAATTATTGAAGTAGCTGGAAATTATTAGTCTTCTTATATCAAGCTATATAATCGTTTTAATCGGTCTATGTTTTTGAATTAATTGAGTGAACTAACGCACCTAAACAAACAACAAAAAATCTGTCAGCATTTCGTAGTTAGCACTAAATAGATTTTGGCGTGTAGTTTAATTAAAAAATGATAATAACATTACATTAAATCACAAAATTTGGAAAAGGAAAACTATAATCGACGGTCCGATATATCCTAAAAGATTTTAACCGCAACTCTTCGTCTCGTCGTCTGCTTCTTCTTCTTCTCCCCCTTCTCTCCGATTCGCTCCGTCGGTTGCGTCATGTCGTCGTCCGATCCGCCGCATCACCGATGCTCAGCGGTAGTAGTGATGATCCTCCTTCTGCTGGGCTTTTCGTTAGTGGCGGCCGACGATGTGTCCTGGTCCGACGATTCCGGCCTCGAGTCTCCTGGATGCACAAACAAGTTCCAAATGGTAATTCGATCTTCGTTCACCGGAGTTGATTGATCGATTTTACTTTCGGGCTCTTTTCTCTCTGGTTAATGCGATTCCACACACCGACTTTAAACATGTGAGAGAGAGAGCTGAATCATTTGTTGAATGAATGCTCGTTTATACAGGTGAAGGTCTTAAACTGGGTTGATGGTGTTAAAGGTGACTACTTTACTGGCTTAACTGCTCAATTTGGAGCATCGGTGCCTTCTGATGCTGATCAAAGCGTTAGGTTTCCGGCTGCTTTTGTGAATCCTTTGGACTCTTGTTCAAATCTCTCTTCCAGGGTCAGTATCTCTTTCCTTGGTTTAGCTAATGCAATTTCATTCTCTCTCTCTCTTTTTGTTTCTTAAAATTGATTTTGTGTTGTTGCAGTTAGATGGACGTATTGCATTGTCGGTCCGTGGCAATTGTGCTTTCACAGAGAAGGCCAAAAATGCTGAAGCAGCTGGTGCTTCTGCTCTGTTGGTTATTAATGATAAAGAAGGTTTTGGTTTTTTTTTTTGGATTAAGATTTTAGTTTGTGTTTGGCTAGCTTTGTATCGTTTAATTTAGTTATGATTTCTTGTTATCAGATCTTGATGAGATGGGATGTATGGAAAAGGATACATCTTTGAATGTGAGCATACCTGTCTTGATGATCTCTAAGTCGAGCGGAGATGCTCTCAACAGGTCTATGGTTGAAAACAAGAATGGTGAGCTTGGTGTGATAAGTTTTTTTCAGCTACTAAATATTGCTTATTGACTTGTTGATCTGATCCTCTCTCTCTTCTTGGCTATGCAGTTGAGCTTCTGTTGTATGCACCAAAACGTCCTGTTGTGGACCTCACAGCAGGATTTTTGTTGCTCATGGCTGTTGGAACTGTCGTCATTGCATCGCTGTGGTCAGAGCTTACAGATCCTGACCAAGCTCATGAATCTTACAGCATATTAGCAAAGGTTAACATCTTTTCAAGTCCTTGTTTTGTTTCACCATTGGTAGCTATACTAGGAAATGCTGGTTCAGTTAAGCTCTTCTGATTGCTATGGTTTGATATCATTTACAACTATCTGCCTTTAATATCCTATGCACGTAGTCTCGTAAGTATATGAATCAGTAGCTGTTATGATATTGAGTTAGCGATATGTCTTTTCAAAGAAGGAAGATTGAGTTAAAAACTTTATTTTCTCCAGGAACTTTCTAGTGGTGGAACCAGAAAAGATGATCCAGAGAAGGAAATCCTTGATATAAGTGTCACTGGTGCTGTATTTTTTATAGTGACAGCCTCCATTTTCCTGCTGCTCCTTTTCTACTTCATGTCATCATGGTTTGTATGGGTGCTCACCATCTTTTTCTGCATCGGCGGCATGCAGGTAAATTTCATTAACATTCCGGTGGTTTTGATAGAATGTTTAGATGAATGCTTTTTCCGTAAATTTAACGAAACGGCTGTTGTTTTCAGGGTATGCATAACATCATTATGGCAGTTATATTGAGGTATTCTGAAATATTCCTAAATGTTTTCACTTCTCTCTTTTTCTGGTTAGCAGATCTTAACGGATATGAATTTGTGGTCTGCCTGCAGAAAATGCAGAAATCTTGGTCGAAAATCTGTGAAGCTCCCTCTGCTTGGGACAATGTCAGTGTTGTCGCTTCTGGTGATCATTTTTTGCTTGGCATTTGCTGTTTTCTGGTTTGTTAAACGGCACGCATCTTATTCTTGGGCTGGGCAAGACGTTCTGGTAACTCTCTTTTTCTTCACGCACTCAATGCTTTAAAAAGTCATTCCTCTCATTGGTTCTCTCATGACTGCTTTATCTGCCAACTTAGTTTTATATTTCCTTCTCTCCTTAAAGTAAGATCTCTCGTAGAGAAGTTTTGGTACACTAAATGAAAATATTCATTGTCATGGTTGTTTGACAGGGCATCTGTTTGATGATCACAGCCTTGCAAGTGGTTCGTTTACCTAACATCAAGGTAGCTTATCTGGCTTGTTAGGCACCAATTTATGATGGTTCTTTGTTTTATGCTGATGGTTCTCTGTACTTCAGGTTGCTACTGTACTTCTTTGCTGCGCGTTTGTCTATGACATCTTCTGGGTGTTCATCTCACCATTGATATTCAATGAGAGTGTTATGATTGTGGTGAGTTTCTCTTGCACTAACACAAATAGCTCAATAACGCAATAAAGCAAGTTAACTAGCTCTGGTATGCTTATATGAGATGTTGCTTCTTTGTAGGTTGCCCAAGGAGACAGCAGCAGCGGGGAGTCCATTCCCATGCTACTAAGGATTCCTCGGTTTTTCGATCCATGGGGTGGTTATGACATGATTGGTTTTGGAGACATCCTCTTCCCCGGTTTGCTCATCTCCTTTGCTTCCAGGTACATTTTCTCAGAGCTTCAAAGAAGAAACTAAAAATTCCCTCTTTACCTCAACTCTATCTGGCTCTAAATCCTTTGCTCTTCTCTTTGGTCTTCAGATATGACAAGATCAAAAAGAGGTCAATATCAAATGGATACTTCCTTTGGTTGACTATCGGCTATGGAGTAGGTTAGTCCATGCATTACTCACTCTGCTAACATATCTGAAGCATTTTACTTTTTTCGACTATAAAGCATGCCTGGTCAGATTTAGCATCTTGAAACTTCACTGAAACAGAGTTTCCTCTGGTTCTGTTTTATAGGTTTGTTACTGACGTATCTAGGTCTGTATCTTATGGACGGACATGGCCAGCCTGCGCTACTGTATATCGTTCCCTGCACACTCGGTAAAACCAGAAGCTTGAGTTTCTCTTTCTCCATTCAATCTTATCCATCGTTTTTCAGACAAAACCTGATGTGTGTTTTTTTCTCTAGGTTTGGTCGTCATTTTGGGGTTGGTAAGAGGAGAGCTTAAAGAACTATGGAACTACGGTATCGAAGAATCAGAAACTCGCACTCCTGAGGATCCTCTGCCTGTGGCTTAATAACATGTTAGACAATTCTAATGGTGTGTTATCAACGGAACCAGATCAGTTTTTCCCCCAGAACATCGAGCAAAAGCTTAGCATATCTCATCTGTGTTAGAGACGAACAAAAAGCTGATGTAGTAAGTTATCTGCAAATCTTAAGTTAATATCGGAGAGTAACTACTCAGACAAAATTGGGAGCTGTAATATGTCGTATTTTTCTTGTTTTGGGGAGAGAACAAAGAACATGTTTGTATAGAGTCTATGACCTTTCTCTTGGATTCAGACTCACATTTCTTTAGTAAGTAGTAACCATCGGTTTTTTTTAGTATTTCAAGTGGTGCAAATGAATTTCCCTTTTGATAATTCTTGTTTCTTCTTTTCGATACAAAAGTCTGAAGCCTCTAACCAAATTCATAAAACTTACAAGTTTGTCCAGTATAACATAATTGCACGATCAATATTTGATATGTAATTTGTTGGAACTGATCAACGGGTCTATTTATGTACACGTTGTTAGTTATTGATATAATTGATTAAGTAGGACAACGTGTGAAAAATATGTATGACCAACTGCATACTATTATACGAGAACGACGTTTAGATGATCATAGATTCATATCCTCCCAACAGAAAATGTGATTAGAAAGAAATTTAATAATGGAGGTTTTGTAAATCAGTAGTTTTCGTTAATTATGTCAGTGATCAGTTGAATTTAATCCGGCATGAATACTGTAGCGCAAGAGTATAAAAAAGGTGATCGATAAGCTTGTGTCTAGTAAATTTTTTTTGAGAATCTTTTCATTAAGAAAAAAAACTATTTAAAGATTGTGACACTTGTTAAATACAACAATCAATCAATGAAAATACAGTATTCACAATTTCCATGAACTATAAGCTTGTGTCTACTAATTTTTTTGGAAAAAGTTTTTACTAGGTATAATGTCTATTTCTTTTAAAAATGACAATCAAAATTTTATAGGCTAGATAAATTTCTTTTTTTTTGTCACGAAGGCTAGATAAACTAAATATGTATATTTTATGATAGTTACTATATACATAGTGTTTTAGTACATTTTATTATAAAAATTAACAACTAAATGTTTAATCCATCCATGGAAACATCATTCAAGAATTATACAATCAAGAATAACCAAAGTAGTGCATAACTCCAACGGCAAGTTCCCAAACCCTAATGTTTAAACATCCATAGATAAATAAGAAAAATCCCCTATTATCAAAATTTAAGAAAAGAAAAAAGAAAATATATCGTCACTTATCGACTAATACACATATCCACACATTTTGTATATGATGTATCCTATCTTACACGTATGTATACATATAAGAATATATACACATATATGCATGATCACCCAATCGGCCAATCCAGTACTATGTGTGTCGTATCTCTATATGCATAGATGATGATGATGATTATTGATGATCATTTCGGAGATAAGCCATCAACGAGACACTGCATGACCTTGACCTGCATACTAAGGCACTTGATGTAATGAGCCGTCTCTTTCATCAGCTTTGAAGTCTCCATTTCTCCGCCTCCCGGAACAAGATCCCTCAGCCTATCCGCCGCCTTTTCCTCCACCGGAGCTCTCCGGTTACACCTCCTCCTACTCAGCCACGTCACCCTCCTCTTCCTCCTTGGAAATCTTACGATCTTGTTGTTTTCACTGGCGGCTCGGCGCAAGAGGGCTCTACTCCACAGCCGCCTCCCTCCGGCTGCTCGTGCCATGGAAACGTACGCAGCCATCTTGATCTTCTTCACGCGATCGTTTGTTTTGTCAGGAGAATTAGAAGGGTTTTGTGTTTTGAGATTTGAGAGGGATTGGAGGAAGTGGAGGGCAAAAACATCTTTTTCAGGGACGTCTGTGTTTATGGATTTGTCTTGAGATGCCATTGTTTGGGTTCTTTGAGAAAAAAAGAAGTTGGGTTGAGAACCTTTATAAAACTTTTTATTTTCTTCTCAGAAATGACACAATATTAGGGTTAATAAATAACGGAGAGACGGAGAAAGATACGGGAATTAATATTCTTTTTTTTTTACATTTCATTCTTTAGTTTATGATTAAATCCTTGAAAGAACAATGGAAAAATAAATAAAAATTTCCGGTGAAAAAGCATGGCGGAAAATAGAGACGTCACCTAAGTCAACAGCACAAGAAATAAAAATACAAACCCAAACAAGCAAAGACATTCGTGATCGAATCTAAATAAATAAATTGGTTTGCTTTTCTGTCACAAGACACACAGTTTAGATATTTTTTAATTTATGTTCTAAAATATTTAGAACATGAGTAGAATTCAAAGTTTCCAACAATCAGGAGAAGATGAAGAAGATCATTATATAGATATGCTATTAGGTTTGAAAATTTAAATTTTGGAGCTTAATGAGAATATAAAGTTTTCGTTTAAATATCTGGAATTATATCATGGAATTTTTTTTAAATTGATGGAAAAAGAAAATAAAAACACAAACAAACTACAACCTAATGCCCGTCTAGAGCGGAGAACACCGATATTTGGTAATCATGGTAATAAGCCGGCGTCTTCAGACTCTTTACCTATAACTTCAATGGTGATAAACAAAATACAGTTCTCTATCATATATTTGAGCGTATAATAACAAAAATATGAAAAAAAAACTGTATGATATTAGCTCAAAAATTTAGAGATGTGGTAAATCAGTATAATTTAGAATTTAAAATTGAAATATGACGATTCTATAGAAAAACCTATGTATTTGGATAAGTATAATGTACACCTAGGGTTATAAAGTCTTGAATAAAAATAATGGACATTTAGTGGAAAACGATGTTTTGGCTTGAAGAAAAAGGGTGATGATAATAGATTAACAGAACTTGGCTATTTTTTGACTAATTTGAAATATAGCATTAATGTCAGTATTACAACTACAAGAAAATAATAATTCGGATGATGTTAACGTAGACGCAAATTAATTAAGCCCTTTGGCTCATAGCTTTGTATAAAGTATAAACGGAAAAAAGAGCAATTAGGGGCAGACATCAGGTTATGGAATAAGATTCCAACCTCATTTTTATGTTTATTTGTTTGTTTTTGTAAAAGTTTAAGTTAAGTGACGAATGCGTATGGATGAATTAACGTGAACAGCTAATAGAGACGATTATGATAACATTAGGTAAGCTATATATCTTATCTGTTACTATGTATATATATATGCTAACATTAGTTGACAAATAATGACGATGAAGATGGAATTCTGGAAAACATCTAATCTCGTTTTCATTCCAAAAGAATTCACAACAAAAGAAAAACCAAAAAAATCAATTAATTGATATACTCCATTTGCTCAGTATATCTTACAAACAAAAGTTCAGCAAAAATCTAGAACAGTTGATTAGTGAGGATACTGATACCGAGTTTGAAGTATACATTAGTTTTGAAAGTAACCCAATTGAAAAAAAAAAACTATAATTTTTGGCGAGTGGGTATAATAAACTTGATAGCCGCTCGCATCATCACGATAAAACATGAAAACGTGCTAAAAGGTGATCAAATATATATCAACAAAATATTCACCATGCAAGAGAGCAACAATAAAATATATAAATATGTCTATATCTTTGCGTTGTATATGAGATTATTCCATTGGTTCGGCTAATAGGTGACGCCAGAATTTACACGCAAAAACAAATAAAAACTAATTTAAAAAGACAACCCAAAGAAAAGAAGAAGAGACTTGAGGAATAAGATTTGTGTTTGGTTAAGGCTATAATTTAGCATTAGTCCCATCTCTTTTGTGTTAATCACTCTCTCCCTACCGCCGGACGTAGTTTTCACGCCATTAATTATCCTATATAGTATTATCGTGCTCCCATTTACAATTCAGCTCCAAAATCCCCTTTAACTAATCCCACAGTTTTTCTAAAAGGTTTCAAATTATACAATCTACACGATAGAACATATGTTTAGAGTTTGAAAGGTAACAAAGTTTCGTGAAAATGATAATTTACTCACACCCCAAAAAATCATATTAGGAGTCTAACCAAATGCATAATCTACTAAAGAAGGAGTTGAAGAAGTGGTAGAGTGGACCCACGAATGGGCCAACCACCACATGAAGGCACATGGCTATGGCCTTTACCCACCCCCACTTTCCTTTCTCTCTTATCTTTATCTTTTAATTTTTGTTTTAATCATATTTAATTAAATGTTAACCACACCATTCGTTCTATTTGATTCTCCTCTTATTAGTTTTCAGTAATTAATAGTTCAGTCGTTGGGACTAACTTTAAATATGAACGATATTCAGCTAAAAACGTAAAACAAATAGAAAAAGAACAAATGCTATTGGCCCCAGTAATAATAGTGTCAATTGTGAAACTGGAAAAAAAGGAATTTTATCGTATTCACGTTTAAAATCAGAAACGTGTGAAAAAGCAACGTCATCACTGACGCATCCTTCTTTATGTCAGTAGTTTTTAGGTTACGTTTTGTAGTATAAAAGAAGACGGCTGATTAAACTTGACGTTACAACTGTCGGCGAATCTGTCCCCGTAATTGCTGACGTGGCTCCGTTATTACTTTCTCTGGTCGATAACAAATAGTACATGACGGCGCTCGTTTTCTTTTCATTTTTGATTATTCCCAAACTTCACAAACAAAATTGTAAAAATCAGTGACTCAATAATAGTGAAAGACGACTATGTCATGAGTTTGAAACGTTATAATTTTTTTTTATGAGTTTGAAACTCGACAATATGTTGAAAAATCGTACTAGTTAACAAACATATTCGGATTAGCTCTGTCCAAACAAATTAAAGAATGTATAACGCTAAGAATTTTGTTGGTCTTCGGCAAAAAGAAAGGAATATTGTTGGTTACTAACTTACGAAGACTTGAAAAATTAAATAAACGGACAGAAACAAAAGGTGTGCACGTGGGATAAATTTATTGTCAACATATATAATTATATACACACGTACATGCAAAGATACATTATACATTATGCATATGTAAATCATTATTTGATTGTATGACTGTATGAGTTGAAACAACGGAATCGTTGAAAGAAAAAGGTGGGCCAATCTTGCCTATTGTTAGAGAGGCAAGATTTTAAAGAAAACGAAGACCTAATTAACTCTTTTATTTTCATTTAAACCTTTAATTATTGTTTATCACTATTCTTCAATTATGGTTAGTTGGTAAGGCTCTCATATTATATCTTCTCTATCGTTTACGTGTTACAAGTTTCAACGAATGCTAGCTCATGTATCCAGAAGTGCATGCGGGATGTTAACATGTAGATGACTAGTATCCAATTAAGACTTGAACAAGAAAATCTCTATTATGAAACCGTAATTATATTTCTGTACACTTTTCATCTTGCATGTCCACAAGACCAAAACGAATTTAATTAATTAACTACACAGTCTACACTTGAAGTAACAAAACAAAAAATTAGCTAACTACTAACAATTCTACAAATATTTTTTGGTAACATGTGAACACATGTACATGCAAATGTACATTGTACATTATGCATATGTATGATATACAATCTATCTGCATCATATCAATATATCATACATATTTGTGATAATTTTGTTTGGCGTATACATGAAAGATCTATGGGAAAACTCAAAAGCATCGCATGTCGCATCTTTGAATCGTTTGCAATTTGGACTAATGTAGACACTATTTAAAACCATTGGACCAAGTTATTCAGTAGAACATTACGTACTGACCAATAGAGATCACAATTAATTCGTTCGTTCTACCAATTTGGATGTTACGGCTTGCTGATTAGAGCTTAGCCCATCCATTAGTACTTTTGAAGCCTGCAAGCAAGCAGCGAAAAGAGATTTTGAAGCCCATGCATGCTTATAGACCTATAACTTACTATCTCGATTCTCGAATGATTGTAAATGCAATATCTAATCCTTCAAAATAATATTTTACTTGATTCATCGTAAATGTAGCATTGCAGCTTATATTACCTCTGGAGTACAGCCAAAATATCCATTCATATATAAGTCTATAACACTGATCAAATGTAACCATAGTTTACCAACGAATATCGACAGTTTCATTATTTTAAGCATTTAGTAGTAACAATCCAGCAACAAATCCAGATCTTTACATTTTCTTAAACAAATATTAATAGGGGATTATTTAAATTTAATCACAATTTTAGCTCACTTCACAAGGCCAGAGTCGAAACTAACGCCCGTTGACGGCAACCACATCGTCCCGTAAATGAAACTAGCGACAGTGAACCCTTCCGCTTCCTTCACCGTTAAAGACGAATGACACCCGGCCCATTTAACCCGACCCGAAATCGATGACCCGGGACCCGAATTCCCAAATTCCCCGTAAAACAGAGTTTTGAGACCAAACCCACCCGACCAAGGAGACCAACCCGACGGGTGGATCGACCCGTCGAGAAACGATTGCATCACCACCGTCCTCGAATACTCCTTCCACGGCCGGCCTAGAAAAGTCATCGACTGCGCCGTGATTCTGCAGTTCTGAATCGAGATTCCGGTGTTCTGCTCCGAGTGGCTCCGCCCTTGCGCCGTCACAAAGTTTCTCTGACCCGGTAATGGTTTCCGGGCGACGATGTTGCACGACTGGAACACGACGGCGGAGTTTCCGAAGATGAAATCGACGGTTCCGGTTATGTCCGTCTCTCTGTAGAACTGTCGCTTCGAGTGCGTGTAGAGCGAGTCTTGATATCCTTCGACGGAGCACCGATACACGACGGATTTATCTGCTCCGACCCGGAGCGCCACCGCTTGCTCCGATTTGGGTCCGGCGCTGTTCACGAATGTTATGTCGCGCGCTATAAATCCCTCTCCCATAGCAGCTTCCAGTAGAAAAAAAATTCAAAATTCGTTAACCGATCCAAATTAAATCGAAACCATACCAATTAAAACCAAAACCGAACCAAGAAAATAATTTAAAATTAAATTGTCTGTTAAAAGTTAGTTAGAGAATCTTACCGACGGTGGCAGTGTTGTAAGTACTATAGCCGCCTCTATTACTCCGGCTACCTACAATGACGGTTTTGCCCTTCCCGTCACCAACTAACATAACGTTCTTCTGCTTCGTCGGAATCCTGATGATCTCATTGTAGGTCCCAGCTTTCAGGTGAATTACGGTCCTGCCACCGCTACTCGCCAGCGAAGCAGCCAACAAAGCTTCTCCTACGGTCTTGTGGGTCCCACTTCCGTCTGCAGCCACCACCGCGTCGAGTTTAAGCTCACTCACCGAAGCTTCTAGAAGCCTCCGCTCCGACGAAGTAACAAACGTCGGGAAATGCTCCTGTTCCGACGACAAATGTCTCCGGTTTTTCGACTTCACGGATACGAACAGCTCGAGCGAGTTTGTCAACAAGCCAGAGAGGTTTCTTGCGACGAAATCCATCGTGAATCCGTGTTTGTAAGACTTGGATTTTTCTTGGAGGCTTTGCTCACAAGTCTCTTGGTTCGTGAGTGCTGCGCTTAGCCATGTATGAACATCTTCTTCGTCACCGTCTTTAGTACGGATGCGAGACAACATGTCAAGTGTGTCGTCTAGCAGCTCAAGGCAGTCGTGGACGGGATCGACCACGTGGACTTGTGTGGTTCGATGAGAAACAGTGAGGTTGAAAGCGAGAGAGCGAGCCAGGAGAGCATGGTTCATACTCTCTTGGACCGATGCGAGAAACCCTTGTTTGGTTCTTGATGGTGAACTTCGATGTCTCGAGAGTCTTGAGAAATGGGAGTTGAAATTGGAACTGGTCACAGCTGAAGTAATTTGAATCAGGTATAAGAAGTTTATGATCAGCAAAATCGTTACTGTTTTTGGAATCTTGTGATTTGATATTGATGAGGATGAAGCCATTATAGTTATGAAACTTAATGATTTGCAAGCTGTTGTAGTAGTAGGAGCAGCTTAATGGTGCATGGGTATATATATATATAGTTATATACACTTAATTTTTTGTTTTGGTCGTTATTGTGTTTTAAAATTTTGTGTTATTTTGTATCTTACAACTACACGACTCTTGAGTTCGAGTCATATACGACTGAATAATGGACGAGAACTTGTAATATGTTTCTTTTTTATTTAATATATAAACCAACTTTTGTAATTGATTCCCAAGATATAACTTATAATGCATACATTTAACTATTATTGTATATAAGAATAAGACAGTAGTAGTACCCTTGTCTAAATAGTGATGTTTCAGAACATTTGATGTTTTACCAAGCTTAATCGCAAATCCATTACTATTTACCCATTATGGATTAATTCATCACTCTCCAGCATAAGATTTATGATCCATAGTTTCTTATATTTTTACCTATTTATGTTATGGTTGTAACTTGTAAAGATAGAGGAATCTTTTATGTTAGTTGGCAAAAAAATTATCCTCATGCGACCAATTTCACTATTTTCACATTTCAAAAAACTCAATTAGTTTGTATTAGTTTGTAACGTAAACCTTAAGGGTGAAGCAACGAAAAAAGAAAGGCCTTTAAAATTGCCAGACTGTGCGTATTATTCCAAATCGTTTCCTACTTTTAATCATAGAGCTACGTACATATAATGTAACTCCTTTATATTAGCGAAAATAATTATATTATTATTTATTAATCTATGTATAATATAGTTAATCTATATGCACGCAAGTGTATCATTTAAGTTAAATTCATTTATTTATATATTGATGAAAAAATCATTTTCATTCATTCATTTATTTATTGACCAGCAAAAAGTGAAACATTCTAAAGTAAACCGTGTACAAGTCGAACTTTTCCCAAACAACTCGATGATAGTGTAAAGTGTGGATGTTCCTCCGTATTAACAATTTCATAGTGTAATGTATATGCAATAGATAACTCACAAAGTCCTCAAGTCAAAAAAAAAGAAGCTCACAACTCTTTGCGCGTCAGGTATCTTTTTGGGATTTGTGTATACACTTCGTGATATGGTTTGTATTTTTTATTGGGTTGAAATTCTCTAATAAAATATGAAAAGCTGACACTATATATAATGATACAACTGCGACTTAGGGTGTTACTTAGGGTGTAACTGATAAAATTATAGATTATTTATATAGAGGAACGAAGAGCTAGAGAGGGATCTAATCAATTTAGGAGAAGTTGAAGCTAGAGTAGCTTTTTTCCTTGTCAGAAACCATTAGGGGAAAAAAACCCAATTTTACCTACTTAGGAACCGTACCCATCGTAAAAGAACATAAATAATTGAAAAGAACAAACTCAACTGGTGAAATGTAAACAGAAGTCAGAATAATTCTGGCTATTAGGGTCAACTAGTCATAGCCTTAACTAACCATTTTTGTTTTTATTTTTATAAAGAACCTCTTTATATTTGTTGCTGAACAACAAGATGCTTGGACAAAAATGTATAATACCAAAAGAAAATAACCAAAACTTATATTTTTAAAAATCGGTTATACCTGCTTAATTTAATGTTTGTTAATTATTGAAACAGGATGCTTTCGTTGTTAATTAATAGAACTGCTTCATTTTGTTTTGTGCATGGATAACGATACCGCCAAACTTAAAAAGACAAAAAATGGGATCCATCTTATGTAATCCTCAAAGATGATTTAACGACGCGACGTCATCAGTATTCACTTATTCACCTACTGGTCAGCCTCGGGAAACAAAGGAAAAGATCGCACTCCCACTTGTATTCAATAATTTTAAGGAGCTATTTTATGTTAATATATTTTCAATATATGTACTCGTTATGAATGTTTTGGTCACTCTTTGTTTCAGCTTAACCATTCAGTCAATCATTAAGTTAACCTTAAAGCAAGGATAAGCATGCCACTAAACTCATACAGTATCTGCCTCCGAGCTTACGAATGACTTCAGAGTTCAGACATCTTATATCTATTCGATTATCTACATTAATAATTGCTACAAGAAGTCTTGTCTCATAAATGCATGCATAACTAATTCACGCAATAATGTACTACTATAATACTACACGTTGATTCAAATTAGTTGGTCTATTCAAGAGGAAATAAGTACATTAGTTCGAATTTCATTTGGTCTTATATCATTAACAATATTATTTTGCTAGAGATAAGTATTATATGATAGAGATTTGATGATTGACTATACGTAAGAGCTAACTTTGATAATTTTGAACAGAGACAAATTAAGGGAGACCTTACGATAAGCTTTAAATGTTTTCCAATGCCAAAAAGAGAGTGACAAGAACAGACTATAGTGATTTCAGTAGTTAACGTATGTCTTTTTATGTACGTTCACGAGTTGTTTAATTTTCTATAGATAAAAAAAAAAATGAAGCTGTCGATTATTATGTGAAAAAGGATAAGATTCCAACTTAACTTTTAACAGAAAAGGAAATATATAAAACTTGCAAGTTATTCGAATGCCACAGCTGGACCTCACACCTTTGTAACAACACCTATTCCGTGGGTGTGGTGAACTCTCGCGAGCTACATCTTTTCAATTAATTCCTTACTGATATGAGATCATTTACTAATTTGAGATCATTGTCATCAAATGAAATTGCTTCCCCGTTCCAAACTTAAAATCACTTTCGAGGATGAAACCTTTCTTAATAATATAATCCTAATATAACTAGAATCTAAGAAAATAAAGAATAGTAGAATTTGGGTTAAGCCGTTAAGGGATTGAAATGGATTGATTTGAACTGTTTACAGAGAAGCAAGAAAATGATGGTCTTAGAAGTGTAAATGCCACCTAACGCTTTTGTTGTATATCCTTTAACAGGAAATGAAAAAGTCGTTGACACTCTTCTCATTTATATATTTATAGAAAAATCCAATAAGAACCTGCTAAGTAATGAATTATTGGCAAAGCTAAAGAGATGAAGAAACACCCATAATTGGTGTAAAAATGTAAATGGGTATATGTTAATGTCATATGTGTTGTGTATTTGTGTGTTAATTCATCTTTCTTAAGTCGATCCAATTATGAACACACGTTTCTAATTAAATAGAGAAAAACGAATCCTATATTATTTTAGTAACTACAAAAGTCATGATGAAATTGTGTTTCTCTTTATATGGACAATTTACAACTGGTTTGTTAGATAATTTATGATCGATAGAAAGATTACTATTGATGAATAATAACTTGCATATAAACACTGTCTCCGAACTAGATGAACTGAAAAGTTGACAGTGATCGTTGATGAAAGATAGCGGTTTAGCTTAGACCAGTCTTGTACATAACGGTTTAGTGTGTAGTATAAATCAATTGTACAGTATACTATTTCAATAAGAATGTGAAGTTATCTTTCACAACAAACTCGTGTTTCCTTTCTCATTCTCACAACGTAATAATGATCGTCGATGAAAGTTTTTCAAAGACTCGAACAGAAAATTTTGGTCGCTATGAAATGATTGTTAAATATTCAGCTGCTATTTTTTTAAGCAATGAGAGAATTCGAGAAATTAAAAAAAAAAAAAATTGCTTGATTTTCCGTGTGTAATAAGTAACATGACCTTCTCTATAAATTGTTGTTGTCAAGCCCTATTTTAATTAGGAGTAGAATTGATGTTTGAGTTCCAAGTTTTATTCGTCTATATAGGATTAGGATTTATGTTCGTAAACGTTATTTGTTGAAAACTGAAAAGGAAATATACAATTCTGTAAGTCTATCGTGAAAACTGAAAAGGAAAAACACTAGTTAATATCCCAAAAAAAAGGAAAACCCTAGCGAGAAGAACATCGATCGGTCATTCTCTCCAACTATAAAGTTTCTCGTTTACTATTGGATTTGAATCAAGAGCTCTGAAAAGCACCAAACCACAAGTTGAGAATGAATTCGTCTAAGATTGTTATTCCTAACAACCACGGCGAGAAGCTGGTGGGTGTACTACACGAAACCGGGTCAAGAGAAGTTGTGGTCATGTGTCACGGATGTCGATCGAACAAGAACACACCAGTCATCGAGAAGTTGGCTTCTGCTATAGAGAAAGAAGGGATCAGCGCTTTCCGTTTTGATTTCTCGGGGAATGGAGAAAGCGACGGCACTTTCAACTACGGTAACTACAAGCAGGAAGCAGATGGGGATCTACGTTCTGTCATCCAATACTTCCACAACACAAACCGTGTGGTTCCTATCATTCTAGGGCACAGCAAAGGAGGCAATGCGGTCCTCCGCTATGCTTCCATGTTTCATGATAGTATCCGCGGTGTAATCAACCTATCAGGATGCTATGATCTTGAAAGATGCCATCATCTCGATGATCCTGAATTTGTGGAGAAGCTTAAGCGACAAGGTTTCGTCAATGTTAAAGTTAAAAACTCGTCGAGGAAGTACCGTATCACTCAAGAAAGCTTAGATGAGCGATTCAGCATTGACATGAATCAAACCTGCCTCAGGATTAGCAAAGGATGCAAAGTCTTGACGGTCCATGGATCGGATGACGATGCGGTACCAGTGGAAGAGGCCAAGGAGTTTGCAAAGATCATACCAAACCACAAGCTGGAAATTTTGCAAGGAGCTGATCATAGTTTTAGCCAGCATCGAAGTCTATTGGCGTCAACAGTTATCGAATTCATAAAGTCGGTATTGTGAACAACAACAACGACTAGTCTTTTCTTTTTTTCTTTGGTACTTGAATGTTCATCATGCATCACATAATTCACATTGTAACACTCGATCCCAATCTTGGTGTTTTGTTGTGAAATTATAAATATATATAACAATTATGTCATTTAATATCTAAACAAAAACAGTAATTGATACTATGATGATATTTCCTGAATTGATGTATCATGAACATGGCTTTATCTCCAAGTATGGTTCCAACCTGAATTGATGTAGCAAATTGTCATAGAAGATTACTTCCAATGTTGGGCCTTACTTCAACAGATATAGATTGTTGGGCCGGGCCTTTTGGACTGGTGCAAGCAAATTTCAATGAAATGACAAATGTAACCCTCTGAGAGTTTTAAGACAAAACAGGTGTGAAGTGTGCTTCTCTCTCACTCCGTTCACGTTCTGCAACATCGGAACCACGTACGGTTCCTAAGACTCCGTTCGCTTTTTAAACACAGACACTCTCTTTTAATAATAATAATTACCAATTAACCAGAGATCAAAAGGACGGACAGAAAAAAGTTGTTTCGTCACTTTGTTTTTTCTTCTTCTTCTCCTTCGTCAAACAGATTCACATTTTGACTTTTTCCTATTTCCCGGTGTGCTCAGATCCGATTCCTCGCCGCGAAATTCGCCGGTGCACCATTCTTCTTGGCATCATCTTTGATTCCGATCGGCTTTCCTGTAACATGAATCGGATGATCGTAGGTACGCTACTTTTTTAATTTTCCTCGAAATTGGCTTTTGTTTTCTGATCGAAACGAGATGAGTCGAATATCTGCGAAATTCGAGATTCAATTTCATCACATTGTTTTCGTCTCTTGAAAATTTACTAGGAACTTAAAAAATGCAAATGGCGTTGACAGATTTGTTTCTTTACGAGGACCCACATTGCAGTTATTTTGTTGAATTTTGAACAACATTGTTCTTTGTAAATTCATTTATATTGCTGATGTGAAGAACAGAGAAAAGGATTGTAGTGTCGAATTGTTTAAGGTAATGATGATTCCTAAGTGAAAAAAAAACAAAAACAAAAAGGTCAGAAAGATGACAAAGCTGAAGATTCTCTTGTCTTTGGAGGTTCCATTTTTGTGGGTCCTTTTCAAAATAATGATTGGATTTACACAGAAATGATTGCCTTAGAATTGTTGTTCTCTTTACAATCTTTGATTGTGAACAAGGAAACTCAATGATAGCGTTAGATTTTTAGTTTCTCACTGTTTGATGATTGTGGAATTAGTTTGTTTATTGTTCCAAGTGTTGCAGGTGCTAGTAACGGTGGACTGATACTTGAACTATTGAAAGAATAAAGAGACTTGATGCGGTTTTAGACTATAAAAAAGATAACAATGCTGGGGAATCAATCCACAGAGTTTAGCGAGAACGGGGAAGATGAGAGTAGCAGAGAGCTATGTGCAAATGGGAATCGCATGAAAACAGCTGAAGTCGAAGCAAAGCTTGATGAAGGAAACATCCAAGAAGCTGAATCCTCTCTAAGAGAAGGCTTATCTCTCAATTTCGAAGTTTTGTTTCTTCACCTCCCAATCCAACCTTCAAGAAATGATCTGTCTCTTACATTTTCTTGCTCTTGTTTTGTTTATGGTTACTACAGGAAGCAAGAGCACTTCTTGGAAGACTAGAATACCAAAGAGGGAACTTAGAAGGCGCGCTCCGTGTCTTTGAAGGCATCGATCTTCAATCAGCGATCCAACGGTTACAGGCCTCCGCGCCGCCTGAGAAACCTGCTACCAAGAAAAACCGTCCCCGTGAGCCTCCTCAATCAGTCTCACAGCACGCTGCTAGCTTGGTTCTTGAAGCTTTCTACTTGAAAGCCAAATCCCTTCAAAAACTTGGCAGAATCACCGGTAACAAATTCCTTTCATCTTGATCTCAGTTCTTGAATCTTGAATCTTGATCTTGCTACATTCTTGCAGAGGCTGCAAGAGAATGCAAAAGCGTTCTTGACTCCGTTGAGAAGATATTCCAGCAAGGGATACCTGACGCTCAAGTGGACACAAGACTTCAAGAAACCGTTAGCCACGCCGTGGAACTACTTCCAGCTCTATGGAGAGAGTCCGGTGATTACCAAGAAGCGATCTCAGCTTACAGACGCGCGCTACTAAGCCAGTGGAACCTCGACAACGACTCTTGCGCAAGGATACAGAAAGACTTCGCAGTCTTTCTTCTACACTCAGGAGTCGAAGCGAGTCCTCCGAGCTTAGGCTCTCAGGTCGAAGGCTCCTACATACCGAGAAACAACTTGGAAGAAGCCATTCTTCTTCTGATGATCCTCGTCAAGAAGTTCAACCTCGGGAAGGCGAAATGGGATCCGTCTGTCATCGAACACCTCACCTTTGCGTTGACTTTATGTAGTCAGACTTCTGTTCTCGCTAAGCAGTTAGAAGAAGTCATGCCTGGTGTGTTTAGCCGCGTTGAGCGTTGGAACAATTTAGCTCTTTCTTATAGCGCAGCTGGTCAAGCCACTGCTGCTGTGAACCTTCTTAGGAAGTCTCTGCATAAACACGAACAGCCTGATGACCTCGTGGCGCTTCTGCTAGCTGCTAAGATTTGTAGTAAAGAGGCTAGTTTAGCTGCGGAAGGTTCTGGTTACGCGCAGAGAGCTATCAACAATGCTCAGGGAATGGATGAGCATTTGAAGGGAGTTGGTTTGAGGATGTTAGGGCTTTGTTTAGGGAAGCAAGCGAAAGTTCCGACGTCGGATTTCGAACGGTCTCGGCTTCAGTCTGAGTCGTTGAAGGCTTTGGACGGAGCTATAGCGTTTGAGCATAACAACCCTGATTTGATATTTGAGTTGGGTGTTCAGTACGCTGAGCAGAGGAACTTGAAAGCCGCGTCACGTTACGCCAAGGAGTTTATAGATGCGACTGGAGGTTCGGTGTTGAAAGGGTGGAGATTCTTGGCGCTTGTTTTGTCTGCTCAGCAACGGTTCTCGGAAGCTGAGGTTGTGACTGATGCTGCGTTGGATGAAACCGCGAAATGGGATCAAGGACCTCTCTTGAGACTCAAGGCGAAGCTGAAGATCTCTCAATCGAATCCGACGGAAGCTGTTGAGACTTACCGTTACCTTCTTGCTTTGGTTCAGGCGCAGAGGAAATCTTTTGGACCTCTCAGAACTCTTTCTCAGGTTTTTTCTAAGAATCTTGTTTTATTTCCTAATCAGTCAAAAGTTTTTTTTTTACTTATTTATTGAAACGTTCTAGCAAATGAATGAACAGTTGGAGGAAGACAAAGTGAATGAGTTTGAAGTGTGGCATGGCTTAGCTCATCTCTACTCAAGTCTTTCGCATTGGAACGATGTGGAAGTCTGTCTGAAAAAAGCTGGCGAGCTGAAACAGTACTCAGCTTCAATGATGCATACAGAAGGCAAGAACAAGAACCACAATTTTTTAACTAATCTCTTAAAAGTCAATTTCCTCAGTCTAATTTGAATCTTGGTATGATGATCAGGTCGAATGTGGGAAGGAAGAAAGGAGTTTAAACCGGCTCTAGCAGCGTTCTTGGACGGTTTATTACTAGACGGAGCATCGGTTCCTTGCAAAGTAGCGGTTGGAGCGTTGTTGTCTGAAAGAGGGAAAGATCATCAGCCAACACTTCCGGTGGCGAGAAGTTTGCTCTCCGATGCGTTGAGGATTGATCCGACGAACCGGAAAGCTTGGTACTACTTAGGAATGGTTCATAAACACGACGGACGTATAGCTGATGCTACTGATTGCTTCCAAGCTGCTTCTATGCTTGAAGAATCTGATCCCATTGAAAGCTTCTCAACCATTCTTTAAAAAAAAAAAAAAATCTCAATAAACAAACCATCACAAAGAATTTTACATTTTCATATATGTTCACTTTTTTGTCCCCATTGTACAATTTTGAAACCTCTTACTTTCTTCAAACTAAATATATGGTTTTGTGCTGATTTTTTGTTACAAATTCGCGATTTAATTTCAACGCATCAAATCGCAATTCACGTAAAAAGTTGCGATTTTCCGACTTAAACTAAACGCATTTCTAACACGAAACAGTTGATTTAGCAATTCTACAATTTCAACTCAAAATCCAGATTCTCTCGATACACAAATTTTAACAAAAGTCAAAGAAATGGATACAACATAGCACAAAAGTGAGACTCTTCTCTCTACTAGTTCTTCGGAATATTAACTCCGACGATTTTAGCCGGAGTTATACGGAGGAGGTTCCCAGGCTTACCAGGCAAAGCTCCTTTGATCATCACAACGTTGAGATCTTTATCAACTTTCACAATCTTAAGCTTCCTAATCTTCGTCCTCGTTCCTCCCATTCTTCCAGGCATTTTCTTCCCTTTGTAAACTCTTCCCGGCGTAGTTCCGGCACCGATCGACCCCAAAGCACGGTGACTCTTGGAACCGTGAGTCATCTGACCTCTCCTGAAGTGATGCCTTTTGATTCCTCCTTGGAAACCTTTCCCGATTGTCGTCCCCGCGACGTCGACGAGGTCTCCCTCTTTGAAAATCTCGTCGAATACGAGCTTCTGATTGGTCTCGAATCCTTCGACGTTCGTTAACCGGAATTCCTGGAGATGCCGCATCGGGATTACGCCGGCCTTTTGGAGATGGCCGGTTTCCGGTTTAGTGAGCTTCTTGTCGCGGACGCGGCGGTATCCGATTTGAACGGCGTCGTATCCGTCGGTGGCTAGGGTTTTGATTTGGGTGACGATGTTGCCTTCGCGGAATCCGACGACGGTGACTGGCACCACCGTTCCGTCTTCTTCGAAGAATGTCATCATCCCGAGCTTTGACCCCATCACGCCGATTCCAGCTTCCATTGACGCCGAAACCACGAAATGTCGTTTGGGATTGGGAGAAGATTTTGTGAGAATGGAGGAAGAGGATTTCGCAGGGAGGAAGGTCGGAGTGAAGAGTGAGGAGGATAAAGCTGATTTCTGGAGTAAAGACGGGAAAGAAACAACCGCCATAGCCATCGCCATTTTCGGAGAAGAAAGCCGAGAGGATAAACTGAAACAACTCTCTGTGACACTCTCTTATCTTCTTCAATTGGGAACTAACAAAATTTGTCATTATACCCCTAAAGATACGCATAATTACAATTCTCAGCGCTTTTGTTTCACTTTTGCAACATCGGACCTAAAATTCGATATCTATTAATTTTGTTCTTTCCAGGTACAATTTAGCCTCCTTTTCTTCCATCTGGCTTTTTTAGATTAGTTTTCACATTAGTGTTAAGCACAGTGGGAAAAGAAAATACTTGCATCCTTAAAAAAGATGATTTTGGGATCCTTTTGATCATCAATATAAGCATTCGTCAATGATTAAAAAAAGGATATAATGTTCATTCCTTCATTTTATTGAATAAAACACAGAGAAAATAAACTGAAAAGGTTTTTTATAATTGTTTCCGCCAACAAGACGAAACAAATCACTTCAGTTTCTTTCAGCTAATATTTGATAGAGATATTGCTGAGAGACTGATGATAATGGTGGAGGATGATTTAGAGACGAGAGATGAGAAGCGGAACAGAGGCAGGACCTTCTTCACCCATGACAGGCTGAAACAGATCCAGCTCACCATACCGCTCCAACACACGCATCCTGCAATCTTCAGCAGCCATCAATCCAGTCGAATAAGCGCCGTGAACCGAGCCAGGGAAGCTCGAGCTAGTCGCTTCACCGGCAAAGAATAAGTTATCCACCGGAACCCTAAGCCTCTCGTAGAGATCATGAGGCTTCCCAACGATGTCATAGCTATAAGATCCCAGCGAGTTCACATCGGAACCCCAACGAGACACGAGGTAATGCAACGGAGGCAATGCGTCGGGGAGAATCCTCTGGAGCTGCAAGACAGCGAAGTTGGCAGCTGCTTCATCAGACATTTTCTCAATGTCCTTGGCGAGCTTACCGGCCGGCATGTAGACGAGAACCGGGTGGCCTGTGGCCTTGTGCAGGTTCAAGAAGTAACTGCAGCCGTAGGAGGTTTCTGCGACGACTCCTAGGAACTCTACTTTTGGCCAGAAGACTTTCTCGAAATGCAGTATGATCTTGTTCTCGATCCCTACTCCGAGGTCGTTGATCGCTTCTTGTTTCCACTCTGGTAGCTTCGGCTCGAACTTTATCGTCCCGGATTTCAAAACTCCGAGAGGAACGGCGATCACTGCAGCGTCCGCCACAAATGTGTCACCGTTCTCTGTCGTTACTTTCACTCCGTTGTACCGCCTTACGATTTTAGTAACCCTGAGAAGCAAAAAACCAGAGGTTATATAACTACGAAGAAAGTCAAGACTCTTGAAAGAAGAAAAAGGCAAAGCTTATACCTATGGCCTAGTCTGATGTCAAGCCCTTTGGCCAAAGTATTGATGACAGGACGATACCCTCTAACCATAAGACCGTGCCCACCAGGCAACAATTCCTCCTGCATATTTCGGATTGTTAAACCAACATTCAACAAAACAGTTTCTACTTAAAAGTTAAAACCATTCGCTCCAACTCCAAGATGAATAAGGTAAACTAACCTGGTCCCAACACTTTACAGAGATGGTTTCAGCATCAGCAGCAAACCATCCTTCCATGCGGCACAAGTACCACTGGAGTACATTGTGTGCAATCCCCTCTAACCTGGAGATAAAGAAACCGAAATTCAATCATGAAACCAAGCTTAAAATTTGCATTGTGTGATGGAGATTACAAAAAGTGGAACGTTATTATGTTTACAAACCTCAGCTCAGGTTTCCTCGTAAACACAATTGAAAAAGCCTGAGATATTGACATGTCTGCATCCTGCTCATCCCTGACTTTATTGATCTACATTAACAAAATAAGAATCTAGTTAAGACGAGCGTACAACAAATACTAACACAACAATCAGAATATGAAAGAAGAAAAGAAAGCACAGATGAATGTGAAGGACACTTGCCTCTTCCAAAATCTTCTCAAATGTTACGCCAACACCAGTAACCAACTCTTGACAAACTTGATTCCCATCCATATCAAACAGAGCATAGCTACAGAGACGAAGAATTACACCGTAAGTTTATAAGTAACAAGAGGATGGAATATCCAAAGTTGTTGTACACACCTCTCAAGATCATGATCATACAATACCGAATTGTCACCACTAGTACGATACAGAGGCAATCCCAGTCTCCCTATTACTGGTGCCAAAGGATTCTCTTTGCATACTCCGTGCAGCCTGTAAACAAAACGATGCTCTTGTGTCAGCAAAAGCACCAACCAATGACAACAAGATCAAAGACTTGTGGACATTTACCATGATGCACCAAGATCAACAGGAAAACCAAATGAGTAATCAGTGTGAACTCGTCCACCAATTCTGTCACGGGACTCAAGTACCATAACCTATAACAAACAACCACACCGTGAGAACAAGCTTCAATTACACTTCTCAAGGAGGTCATAAGAAACAGCTGAGATTACAAACCTGAAAGGAAGCATCTTGTAGAGTGCGAGCAGCTGAGATTCCACCAAAACCACCTCCGATCACTATCACAGACGGTGACCTTTTCTTCATCCTCTCACCAGCTGTGAAACAAGGACGAATTAACAAAATCAAAACTTGTAGCAATTGTTATTATCGGAGCCCAGAAATGTAACCAATTAAACAACAATTCATACCCCACCAACAAAAAAAAACTTGTGGAAATGAGCAAATACAGCCAAACAAGAAGACGCCACACATGAATCAAACCACCGACAGAGAGAAATCGGCACGAGGAAATTGAGGACCAAAAAAACAAAACTTAATTTTTGCTAAATCAACCAAATTGCCCAGCTCGTAATCTAGATTTAGAACCCTAGATCCTTCCTATACATCAACGATCGATTTCAAACACAGACATGCAAAAACAGAGTTACTGGTGAAGGTAAAAGGAAGAGAATACCTCTACGCATTTGACGATCAGAGTTTCTCCTCGACTCCATGATTTTCAATAGATCAACAGATTACTCTCGAGATTATTAGAATTACGATTACTATTACGATTACTATTACGATTAGACGGAAGCTGGGGAGAGAAATGAAGGATGAAGATCAGAAGACAAGTAGTAAAGTGGCTCGAAATCGAAGATGAGAAAATCAGGCTTCCAAACAAATTCATGCGATTTCTCTTTTCTACGGAATTTTCTCCCCTTTTTGTTCGTTTGTGTTTTTTTTTTTTTCACTCTGCTTTACTCAGCCGACAAGTATCAACGTAGATCTACGACGATCGGCGAGATCGGAAGCGTAATTCAGGCGAAACAATGGGGGAGAAAATATCAAATCCCAGAAACGAGAAAGAGAGAGAGAGCCCAGGTAAGGTAAGAGAGAGAAAGCTGAAGGAAAAGAGACTTCTAGAGAGAGAGAGAGAGAGAGTTTCAGATATTTTCGGCTTCAAGTCCTAAAGTCAGGAAAGTAGGTTAGGTGCTTTATAAAATTGTGCTTTCCCCAAATCATCTATATATAATACCAAGAGAATTTTCCTATTGGTCCATTTGGTTATGCTTTTTGTTTCCAAAATTATTTGATTATTGGTATCTATGAAAATTAGTATTTGGGGTCATTCTTATCTATAAAATTTAATATTATGTGGACTATATTTTTTTATTAAATTTTTGCTATTAAAATTAGCCACAATTTCTATTCATTTGAAAAATTTTACTGGTATATATCGAAAAATAACATATACTTTTTGCCACATACAGTATAATACTAATTTGTTTGTCAATTAATATGAATTTTTAGTTCTTGATTATCTTTTAATTATAAATTATAGAAAGAAAATCTTTTATACTTTTGATTTTTGAATCAGTGAATTTCTAATTATTTATTCTATAATTAATCCCTAACTATATTGATTTTATAATTAGTAAAGGTTATAGATTATTTTCAAATTTATAGAATCAACATTTTGGTCAAATTTACTAGTTTATAAAATCAACATTTTGATTTTCAAGTTTATCATTCTAGTAGTACTAGTATTGTAGTATTTTGAATATGAAATTTTAACCAATTAAGAGTCTAGTAAGACAGTTATTTTAGCTGGATGAATTATACATCGGAAAAATTAAATAAGCCCAACCATAGGATTGTCTGGTTCTTGCCTGAGTAGGAGCATTGAAATTGTGGAGATGGACTGTTTAGTCCTGCAACTTATTGAGATGTGATTGTCGAGTAGTTTTCTCATGTGGATATTGGATAAGGAAAAACCAAGCCTATACAGTATTTGTGTACATCAATAATTTGATTCAGTTTGATGAGTGCTAAAGTATCCACCGACCAGTATCAAGAAGAATGTGGTTCTGAAAATCTACGAAACAAAACTTTGACCAACTATATGAACCGTACAAAGGGTACGTAGATGTGTATAGCTTTAAATTGCAGATAACCGAAAATGGCTAAGTCATAGTGAATACTTTGGTTAGGATAACAAACCTCGGTGTGCCTAATGTAATGCCTATGTTAGAATTTTCTTCTTTTTGTTTGGGTTCTTACATCTTCTTTGTGTTAATGACTTGGTGTGTGTAACACTAAAAGAAAATAAAAAATGACTTGATGTGTTTCCAGTTTTCCACCCATAATTTTCCCAGCGTTTGTGTTAATTTGACCAAGGTTACAAAAGAAAATTAATCACAATAAAACAGAGATAATAATAATAAAATATTGCGTCTCCTTTTTGGCACGTTTGATAAGTTATCCAGCTTATCAAGCAAAGTGGTCCAGTAGGGAGCGCGTGTCATGTAACTATACGTTGTCCATCAGAGTCACGACTTGTCAGTTTTTGTCTGAATCTGACAAATAAAATACTTTTTCTACTGTAATAAACTTATAAAAATGTCTAGACGTTTCTAAACTTAGAACTATTCCGAGTCTTGTTAAACTATGAACAAAAACCTTTGCAGTAATCTGGCCACGTTGATCGTCCCTTGTTTTAACATCCGTCTTTTCTTTGTTTGTATTTTGGCAACGTTAAAACTTCAAACAATGTTATGATGCAAAAATATATCAAAATAATTGCCGCCATATTCATTATGTGTGCTTCTTTTGTTGCTTGAACTGTATTTCATAATACGAACAGGGAAAATACTTATCATTAATGTCTCGTATATTGAATGCTTTGAATTGAATAACCGAAAGTCATAAGCAAAACTGACATAGGAAAAGTTGATTTTCTAGGCACATTTAATGATCAATCTCTACATATGTGGTTTCCATGAGATGTCAATGAAAGCATGTTTGTATCGTAGTCAATTAGAATTGGTTAAAAAAACGTTAAATAAGTCACCGTTATACTGTGACAAGAAAATGATCATCGTTATATTCACAAGGTCATATTTGTTAGTAAAAATCAGACAATTTTCTTTATTCCGACGGCAGTTTTTGTCGTGGTAGTATTATGAATGTGTTTTAGGATTACCTTCAAAATTATTCTTTCGAAAGTTAAATTTAAATACGTAATAAAGTAGTGATCTTGTTCTAGTGATAAGATATGATGGAAAATGATATATGTTTGGTTTGTGGACAAACAATAAGCATTCAAAATATCTCTTAACATTAAAACCAAAAGACTAAACATTCAAATACTATTGATTTTGATCGCAAAGATGAATTGTAAACAGTGAAAAGTCTATAACTTTCCCAAGAATGGTTAGATTCTCAAAAAACTAAATGGCTCCCAAAAAAATTAAAATTGGTTTGGTAAGATATGGGTGACTGCTATTTGTATGCCTATTTGAAGAATATAAACTTTGAGAGTTCACTTTTTACACACAAAAATTACACTGATAAACTGTTTCAATTCTTTAATCAAAATTTACACTGATAAACTGGTATATTAATAATCGATTGTGTTTTTTCTTTCACTAGAAAATAACATAAAATAATAATAATAAACAATTCACAGGAAAAATATCTAGATATTTTACTCAATTATTGGTAGAATAGATTCTGACCATTGGATTTGGAGCACATGACTAAAAACTTAAAATGTCCATGTCCATGTTTTGACACATGACAGATGACTTCCATTGATATCTGCTCCTTCGCATGTGACTTGCCTCTTTCCATCTCTATATTATTAAAAAGCAGCGAAAAAGAAAGCATAACCACCGTTTATTTATCGAACAATATGACATCAGTAAAAGATTAACAATTGATCCAACTCCAGCCTTCGACACACACACACAGAGATAAAAATTCAAACTCCAGCCAGAAGCTTAGAGCTACATAGTGTTTTTGTATTGCCAAAGGGGAACATATAGTAAAATTTATGGAATCCTAGTTATTGTTTATGCGATCATAAAGAAAATAAATGTATGAAATAAGATTTCCAACAACCTAGTCAAATGTATAGGTAAGATTTATATATTTGATTTCATTAGAGAAAAACTGCATGCCTTTAATTTTGACGGTTCTATATACGATTGATAACAAAAATCTCATGTCATTATGACATAATAGCTAGTTTAGTTAACATACACAAACTCGCATATACAAAATAACGTAACGAAGTTGTACGTTGTGCTCTATAATGATACATCCTCTGAACGTTTTAATTATGTTCAGAAGGTTATATATAAATAAAGAAGAAGAATTGCCCCAAACAAACCAAACAAACAAACAAAAAAGAAATATAAAATGTGCAGAGTCAGCTTAATGGTCCAAACGAGGACCGTCGGTGGTCTTCGTTGGCGCAGACGGTTGTTGACTTTGCTGTCCCGTCGGAGAAGTAAATCTCAACATCTCCATCGGCTGCATTTTCATTCATATCAAACCATTACGTGTCAAACAAAACTTATAGCATTCGACATGAAGTAACGTCGTATCAACTAAACTTTATCAACCAAACTACGTCGTTAAATTAAGAACACGACGTCGTTTCGTGTTACCCATTTCACGCTAAACTACGTCATTTAGAGTTGATCGACGCCGTTTATTACCTTAAGCACGACGTCATTTGTTCTTTACCCAATTGTTTTTTCTTTTTTTGTCTTTACCCATTTTTACACTAAACAACGTCGTTTATTAGCTAGGCAAACGACGACGTATCGGCTTTACCTGAGATCCGGCATGCATCTGTGGGAATCCGCCGACGACTCTAGCAAACCGGTCGGAGAAGACCTGGCTCTGCACCGGGATCTGACAAACTAAACCGGGATTGTTCTGAATCGCAGATCGGTTCATAACCGGGAATGGAGGCAACTGTACCGGGCTCTGCATCTGAGGGATGAACGGCGGAGGCTGGACTCCGGGAAACATCATCGGAGCCGCCGCCATTCCACTCCCCATCCACATAACTTGAAGCTGTAGCTGAAGTGACTTCAAGTAATCTATGGCTTCGTCCAAAATCGAAGCTTTATCAGTCTGCAAACACCAAATTATTAATTTAATCAATCAATCACCACAGTTAAAAATTCACTTTTGTTACTGCAAAATCGTTTACTAGAAAAAGAAAAAAAAAACTTACTTTACTGCAGTGAGGTATTAGTTCTTGCAAAGCCTTCATTCTCTCATTGATCCTATCTCTCCTCCTCTAATTTAATTAACAAAACAAAAACAGAGTTTTGTATCTATCTCTTCTCTTTGTCTGAATACACAATCTACTCAACATCAAACTATGTTATATATTTATATATAGACGAACCGATGAAGTACCCTTTCTGAAAGATTATGAACTTCAGCTGCTCGACTCCTTCGCATTGATCCTGATCGCTGGTTCAACTTTTCACGGAGAGCCTACAAAACATATTTATATAAATAATCAAGAACATTAAGCAATGGACCAAAAACGTTACAAGAATTTATCACTCTTGAGTTAGTTTTAAAAGCATACATCTGATTGAGACACAGTTTCATCAGTGTCTGTTGTATGTTTTCTCTTACGGTCTGTTGTATTAATTCTTTCACTAGCCATTTCTTTAACGTTCTTGCCAAAGCTGCCACCAGAGGAGCCACCCGATGATGTACTTGCGTTCGTGTAAAGCCTTTCGTCGACAGTTTTGCTTTGATCATGACTCAGTGACACATCGAGATCGTGGTGACTCCCGCAATGGCTCGGTCCAAGAGTCACCACCGAGTACTGTTCCTTCACTTCGGATGATGAATCCGTTAGCCTAAACTTGGGAGGTGGCATGGCCTGAGGAGGGTCAGGACCGGACTGGTGCTTAACCGTCTCTGAGGTTGGTGGTCTCTCGAGAGGATTGACGGTTGGGAACAAATGGGATGAGAAATCGTCAGTTTCAAATGGGTCTTCATCTGGAGGGTATTGGATCCAAGAGACGGTTTCTTGATCCTCAAGAAAGGTGTTTTGTGTAATTAGTGTTTCTTGGTGATGGTACTCTTGTTTATTAGTTTGGGCTTGGGTTTGGGTTTGGGTTTGGGTTTGCTCTCTATGAGTTTGGCTATGCAAAATAACTTGCCCATCTCGCCATAACAACTCCACTAGCTCATCTTGTGGCCTATATATACACTCAGAGACTATTATAATACGCTTACTTTTCAAGAGGCTAAATGATTAATACATTAGAGTAAACATTAAATACCTTATAGATCTTCTATTAGTGGAGAAATTGTAATTCTCCTCAAAACTCCAACCTTGGTGTTCCATGTCAGATCTATGGAGACATATATCAAAATAATTTTTTTATTAACCTCAATTATTATAGAATCATAAGTGAACGGAGCCAATGATAACATATGACTATACTATTATAGAGACACGGAGGAGCATAAAGTAGGATTTTAAAATTCCAAACTTCAATAGTTTGATTACACTAATCATTAGAAAAAGATTCAGAAATCATTAAATTAAGGATCAAGTCCACGAGTTCATTATTCTGTTAAACTTTATAAAAAATATTTCGTCAGTCTAGAGGAAGGATTGAGAAAAATATAGTTAATTAATTAATTAATAGAGAGACAGTGTGAAAGAAAGAAACAACAGATTCTAAATATAGCAACATCCGTATGAGAGTACTGACCAGATTTGGAAAGCTTATGGGCGAATCAGAAGTTGAATGAGAAGAAGATCTGATTTGTGGCAAATGGAAGTTCCACGCCCAACAAAAATTTAAAGAAAGAAAACAGAACTTTCTCTCTCCTCTCTCTCTCCTCTCTCTCTCGTCTCTCTCGCTCTAGATAGACCTGAAATTTTTAAGAAAAGCTCGTAAAACATGAAAGAAACAGAGAAGAGAGAGAGAGATATAGAGGTAAAGGTTCTTTACTTCCTTTGGTACAGACAGAAAGCGACAGGAGCATAAAGAGGGGAGCGAGAGAGATATTACAGCGAGGGAGATAATGATTCTGTAAGGACAACAGTACTGCAACCTTTCAGACTGAACGCCACGTGGCGAGTTCTGGGACATTATGTTGGAATCAAGGGGACCCACAGGTGGAGATCTCTTTCTCTAGCGATGAGATATTGAGATCTATTGCTAGATTTCTAGAGGTGGTTTCTGATCTGTACCTTATCCAAATAAACTCTGCAAACAATGATTTGAGGGTGTTTTTGTCTAATCACGTCCGACATTTGGTGGCTTTTTTATTTTTTTGTGTGAGCATAATCTTCAATTTGACGTTGTATTTTTCCCTATCCTCCAAATTAAGTTACGTTTTCTTTGTTATCTACTGAATTATTATCTGAATTCAAGGGTTTCGTTGAATTTGAGGCAGAATAGTGTCAATGAGTTTATAATTGATCATATCACTGTTTACGGCGTTGATCAAATCGATTTGAAGTACTCTTGGTTTAAAACAATACGCCAGCACAATATTTTGTTGTTGGATAAAACTTTCACATACAGAAAGATTATTTTCATAGCCTCACTATAGTTATCGTTCACGTAAAGAAATCACTATGTAATCTTGAAAAGATCTAGTGGTTCTTTGATTCATTTATCGTTTTGCAATTAATTCGGTTGTTGTCACACTATCAATTATTCGTGGACCGTCGTGCTTACTGGTAATGGACCACATCCCACACCGCTTCTCGGATCCTATTTCTCACATCATCCCATTAATTTTTACTTTCATGCTAATTTAAAAAAAAAATAGTATATCATTTTCTTTTAGTTGCACCGTTAAAGATAAAATCTGAATTAGTCTATACCAAAAAAAAACGATTTCAAAGTCTATATGTAAATTAATTTGATTTGATTTGAACACTTGATTTTCTTGCATAAATTTGAGTGTATAGGTTGTTGAAAAAAGAATAAGAATTATTCAACTGGTTTACAAGAAAAATACACTGTCGTTTGTAGCAATGGGGTCGTTGGGTTGTAAGCTTAAAGCCCAAAGAAACCCAATCTTATTTATACAAAACGCGCAAAACATGTTTGAAGGGAACAAAAGAAACAACGATTCCACTATAAATTTCAGGTAGTGTGAAACCTTTCAGGTAGTTTCTTGGCAGTTGCCGTCTTTCTAATTTTGATTGTTGTTTATTTTTCTTTGTGTAAGTATGAACATTCCCTTTATAGAAACCTGATACTTACTGAAAGATACCATTCAAAGTTTCACCGTTTTTTCATGTTGAAAATTTTCAAAAAAAGTTATGAAGTTGAAAATTTGGATATTTTGTTCCTTTGACTCTCTTCCCCTCCTTTGATTTTTTATGTTCCTTTGACTTACTTCCTCCTTTGAAAGATTTAAATATTTCTTGTATCTTCCCGAGAAGATTGGATTCGTAGTATTACTAAGATTGTTGTAGGCAACTTTTAGTACTTGTTTTTTAATGGTTTTCTATGATAATATTCAACAGTCAAAATCTGGACTTTGAATGTTTTGTAGATCAATCAAAGGAGTCACTACCTCATTTGGCACGAGAGCTAAGTTATCGTCTGTCTGTCTTTTACTTTGATATTTATTTATTTTATAATTAAGCTTCTTCTTTCTGTTTTTGTGGTTTTTATTTAATCACTTAAAAGTTAAAACTAGACGAACGAAACAATCCGTAAAACACATCACCACAATGCAAACCAATCCTTAACATTCGTAATTTAACGCCCCCCCCTGAAAAGCTACAAGTCATCCTCATAGAACATACATCGATTTTTATTTTTAAAAATTTGGAAAATTCTGAGGAAAATTTCCGATAACAATTTTCTTTACGAACTTCCTACATATATTCCAAATTGTTTTTGCCAACATTTTCTTATTTTTATTTGGGAAATTTTCAAAAATGATCGAGACTATACTTTTGGTTTTTTTTTCCAGAAGATTAGTCCAAGTGTTCTTAGAATCTATTGAGATATTAACGTTTTCCATGTCCTTGGCAATTAGTCGAAAATTAGTGGTAGTAAAAATATCTTGGAATTTTGTCGGAAATTTTACTAGTGAGTCATCAGACTATTGTTGCTGATGCACGTGTGACGTGCTATCCTACCATTAGGATCATTTCCAACGGTCTGGCCATTTGCGCAAAAGCTACGGTCTAGTATTTAGTTCAAACCATGGAAAATCTAAAATGTGGAAGAGAATGATTTCTTTGATAAATTAATTAACTGTTGTTTTTTTTTTCAGAAAAAAATAGTTATTGGCTTAAGTAAACGTATATTAAGGCCATTAGCTTTGAGAGCAAATAATTTTTTCGCGTGGCCTTCACTTTTTTTCTTTCTTTTGCTGCTAAAGGGTACCACTACACTTCTTTCATGGACTATCTTACTATAACCTTTGATTCAAATTATTTTACTTTCTCGTATGATAAGGTTAAGAGGCTAATGACTAACGTCTAACGAGACCATGGTAGATGTCATCTTTACCACATGAATGCTTCACTATGTTCTACCAAATTCTTATCTACCATTTTACCCAAAAAAAATTCTTATCTACCAACGTTCCGACTGGCGACTGTATTGTTTAAGTAACGAGTAGAAAATGGTGTCGTACTTTTGTTTTTGTTTTTTTTGTTTTGTATAGTGACAAAATAGTATTCCGTGAAGCAAAATATATGGAATAACTATTTGCTATATGTTTTCATGAAAGTTAGGGAAAAATATCAAGTAAAAGTTGTCTTTATCTTGTTTTAGTTGGAAGAAATTCCACATGAAGTTGTATGTTTATTGGTCCACAATATAGTTATTAAGTATTTTGGATTAACAACAAGTAGTAAATCAGACTTCCTCTAACTAAGTGTAACTAACATTTTGGAATGCAGTACGTTGAAGCTGATGATAGAAGCATGGTTATTATTTTATAGATTTGGTCTACCATCTACGTTTGTGTTTGGCTCACCGGCTTTCAAGATACTTGAGTCCAAAGAGGAGGCATATATAAAAGTTATCTTTTGGTTCGTGTTTGATATTTTTTTCAATATATTGGAAAATAGTAATATGGTCAAACCACGTGAATTCACTTACACGTATGTATATTGAATTTACGGTTTATTGATAATTTGATATAATTACTGTATTATTACGTATCTACTACTGATAACAACATGTTTGAATTTAGATGATATGACATCATATATAAAGTAGTTGTAATTGTTTCTATTTCTCTGGACTTTTCTGCGTAATAATAAATAGCCACCGGTATTTTGTTTAAAAAAACACTATGTAAATTAGTTTGAGTTTCGCCTGTTTGAAATTTCTTGGTTATAAAAATACATTAGTTAAAGGTCGATCACAGTAAATTCCTGAACGAAATAAGTGTTCTGTTTTATATGCGGTTGAAATCTATAATAATAATACACTATATGATGTTGCCTACTGAAACTATTGTTGTTTTGTTATTGCTCGAATTCAAATCTGCATAATGTATGTTGTTAAATAAAATTGTGATAGAAATATTATAAAATTGTGTGTATAATAGTCAAAGTCATTCGTAATTGACCCAGCACCACCAATTAAACGGCTGAAAAAAAATCATTAAAATGATAAACATTTACCTATATATATGTACAGAGAACTTTTCCTTTAACAAAAAGGTATGTACAGAGAAGTTTCTATACAGAGAGACTTGATTGGAGATATTAAGAGATCGATGTAGTGAAGATGAATGGTGAAGGTAAGGATCGTGAAGAAGAAGATGAAGCAACACTTCCTGGATTCAGATTTCATCCGACTGACGAAGAGCTCTTAGGGTATTATCTTCGACGAAAAGTTGAGAACAAACCCATCAAACTCGAACTTATTAAGCAGATCGATATCTATAAGTTCGATCCTTGGGATCTTCCTAGTAAGTCTTTATATTGGATCACCTTCTTAATTTTATTTTATTTATGAATATTGGTATCGTATTTTATGATCAGTGCTCAAAAGATAAAATGATTTGTTTGTTTCTTTTTTCCTTTCTCAAATCATAGGATAGTATGATAGTATAAAAAGTCTATCTGAACAAAAAGAACTGATTCAGTTAATTTTTCAGCATCTAAATGAAACAAGTAACACAAAAGGAGATACATATGTATCTGACCTGACCAAGATTGATTCTTATATTGAGTTAAAATATTTTGATGGATAATCGTAAATTATATCAAACTAAACCATAACAAATTTGGATTGAACACCCTTGCATGCTAGATTCGAAACTTCATTAACCGAATATTTAACGACCAAAATCTGATTAGAACACCTTGCTAGTCAATTGAAAACTTTGTGAATACGACACTATAGGTATATATTATAAAATGTTGTCGGTCAATTTTTTTATTTTTGTTTTGACAATTATGTTTCATATATTAAAAGATATGGGACCATTCATATTAATACACACACAGATATATTTTCAAATACCATCGCATGAAGATATATTAAAACACGTTATGTGTCACGAAAGCGAAATTTTAATTATCTGAATTTGTTTTTGCCAAGAGTTAATGTTTTCAAATTTTCCATATCTGTACAAAGAAATTAACAAGAGCATTTACACTGGATTTTATTAGGAGTGGGAGAAAAGGAGTGGTACTTCTTCTGCATGAGAGGCAGGAAATACAGAAATAGCGTTAGACCAAACCGGGTCACCGGTTCAGGTTTCTGGAAAGCTACCGGTATCGATAAACCGGTTTACTCCACTCTCCAATGCGTCGGTCTCAAGAAATCTCTGGTTTACTACCTTGGTTCAGCCGGTAAAGGAACCAAGACCGATTGGATGATGCACGAATTCCGACTTCCTTCCACCACGAAAACCGACTCGCCAGCTCAACAAGCAGTGAGTTCTCTGAATATACACATTTTTAAGTTATCAATCCAAATTGTTTTCGAAAGAATTATAAACCAGTTTATTTAACCAAGAAAGGTCTGCATCAGGGCTAAACCATCCTGTCCATTTTTAGTGAAACAATTTTCTTATATTGGTGGAGTTAAATGCTTTCAAAAAGTCAGTCAAGAATGCAGATTTTCTTAGGAGCTATTGATCACATATTCTCCTTCAAAATGGACCCAACTTTTTGTTAAACGTTAAAATTAGGCCGGATTCTCGACTGAGATTGTTTATTTTCCAATAAAACCACGAGAAGAAAGATTTAGACTAATCTCCAAATTACATGAAAACGTCCACACTATACTAAATGGTGTGTATGTGTTCATCCATTAAATTTGATATTTTGTTGCAATCAACAAAACTATAATTCACTAGAGTCAAAATATCGATTGAATCAATGACACTGGACGTACAATTATGTTTTCTGAATTTTTTTTTATAATAAAACCCATAATATTAAAAGCATTACGCAATCATGATTGGTTTCAGATTTTACAGTTGGAAAAAAATAATTAAATGTGTGCATCTTGTTTTCCGCAGGAGGTATGGACACTATGCAGAATCTTCAAACGAGTCACACAACATCGGAACCCAACCATCGTACCACCAAACCGAAAACCGGTTATCACCTTAACCGACTCTTGTTCTAAGACAAGCAGCTTAGATTCCGACCACACCAGCCACCGTGTCGTAGATACCTTCTCCCACAAGCTACACCAGCCCCCGCTTCAGCCACAACAGACGCAGAATCCGTATTGGAACCAACATACGGTTGGTTTCACTCAGCCGACAAATACAAGTTATGATAACAACTTCCCGAGTTTCTGGAACATCAACGGTGGAGATTTCATCGGAGACTCACAAAGTTGGGATGAACTTAGATCTGTTATAGATGGCAACACTAAACCTTAGTAATAATTTTCCTTCGTTTACCCTTTTTGAGCTTTGTAGAAAAGATAAATAAACCACTATGTTTATTTTATAAAATACGTAATAATTATACTGGTTGATACTAACCATATTTATGACCTCAAAGACTCACTACTTTTGTCTGATTCTTGTTTCTCAAGCAACCAGTAATTTCTCTTCTCTTTCTTACATTTTCTTTCTTTGATCACTCATCTGCAATCTCCAATTCCATTCAAAGAAAAAAAATGTTCTCCAATCTTCGAAAATGAATATAAATTCACATAAATTGATACACTCATAGAGAAGTGAATTAGGATCAATGAAACAGATTCTTGAGATGTTTAAAGAAGTAAGCAGAGACAATCTGATTAGTCTTCTCGGTCGGGTGAAAAGCGTCCCAGAAAACGTACTTATTCGCATCACTGCAAGTTAACGGATTGTCCTGTCCGCAGAGAAACCCCATCTCAAACAATCCCGTGCCGCAACACGCAGAACTAGACACCTCAAGACCGTAAACACTAGGTTTGGTTACAATATCCCAAATGATATCATAAGGATTAGCAAAATAGATCCTTAGTCCAACGAGCTCTTTATTCAATTTACTCACTAGTTTCCTCAATCTCCCGTTGAAATCGATCGCCAAGTCATTGTAACTCCGAGAACAGCTGAAAGGGTCGTCAAGATTTGTCACTCTCTCCAGTGGCAAACATCCCATTGGAGAGATTCCAGTGAAAGACATTTTCCGAGCCCCTAGTTTGTAAAGATCCTTTAAGAACACCTCGGCGATTCCGATGAGGAAGTCTTGGTACTGACCGATGCTGTATTGGGATCTCCTGTCCGTTAATGTGTAATAGTTCTCGAGGAAATCGTTGGTCCCTATGCTGACTAAGTACAGCGATTCTCTGATGACGTTAGCTGCTTTCCGGTGACCGAGATAGGCGGTGAGTTTCTTCTGGTATTCTTTGTAGTACTCGACTTGTTTCCATAACGGAATCACACCCTAAATGATAAAACAAGACAGTGTTACTTGTTATACAAGAAAAAAAATCGGAGTTAGGTATGTTTTGAAGTGAAAGGTGGACTTACAAGAACATCGGCGGTAGAATTGTCATAGCCTGTACCAGCGGAGGCGAAGCAAACTCCGGTGGCGAAATCAGAAGTATTGTAGGATGGATCGAGATAGGCCGGCACTGTCTTTTTAAGACCGAAGGCCTCGGAAGTGAAGTCTGAGGAGAGACGGCCGTTGCAAAAGCGTCCGGTGGGGCGGCCACCGGGGAAGTCACGACCATAAGGTTCGAAGTTGGCTCTAGCCATGGTTTGAATGAAGTTGTTATTGCCCGAGTCTACGGAAGAGTCGCCGAAGACAATGATCGCAGGGAGTTTTGCTCCGGCGATGGAGACAAGAGTGGTCAAAATAATGCATAACATTAATGATGGTGAGAAATAATGTGCTGCCATACTAACAACTTGTTTAGCTAGACGGCGATGTTACCTAGGAATTTCATTCTATATATATACATTATATAGAGTATCTACTATTTAATATACTTATTGTAAGATGTGTACGAATTCGTGTATATATGTTTGGGTTAATTTCGGTGTACTATAAGCTGTTCGAATTCGGTGGTGTATAATCATTTTGACTAAAGAACGAAACCATAAAAAGGGACCGAGTAGGAAGTATTTATTGAATTAGAAGTTTGGTAAGGTGTATGATTATATGCATGCATGCTCAGTGCGCCCACTAACAGAAATCTACCTAAAAGCAGTCATGAATATAAATTAAATTTACAGTTATAGTGGTAAAAACCTAAAAACACCATTTTTTCTCGCACAATATGTGGTTTCGAGTTTGATGAAAATGACTCCTTTATCTTATGCATATCTCTTTCAAATATCATAAAATGCAGTAATGTAAGTGTGCATGAATGTGAGAAATCTGTTATAAGTTATAACATGTCACATATGTAGGCAAATTATCCAAAGAAAAAAACAAAAATAAGGGAATTTAGAGAAGGCAAAAACCAAAATTAAAAGCAAAATAGTGTGGAAGTGGTCGGTCCAAAAAGGGATATTAAATTTTGGCTATAGAAAGGGGGTGAGAAAAGTGGGTGGTGAGGTAATAAATGAAACGCCACATGTAGAAGAGATGTCCTCTTATAATTATTACGATTACAATTATGTAGTTCCCGGTGGTTGCATACTTGCATTGCACCTCCACTTTACACTTATAATATTTCCTCCGACCCCGTGAACCGCATGATTCGTAACAATAATATGTATACAGCTTCATCTGTTTATTTGAAGAAGATTTAGTAGCTGTACACATTTAGGTTACAAGGTCAAGATTAAAGTCTAGAGGTCATCTTACAAAAAGTATTGCAAATATTATTCGTTTCCAAATATTTTAAGAGACATATATATATGTTCACCGAGTTACTGCAGAGGACAGAGATTCTAGAAACAGAAGATTCTTTCATTTAAAGATAAACAAACTACCATAGCTAAAGATAGTCTTTAGGACAGATATTACTTAAGACACAAAAGAAAAAAAGAGGAGAGGTTGCGTTGCGAAAGTCGTAAAGACACCAAAGAGCTGCTTGGGCTTTCTACATGCTAGTTCCTGGGTATCCTGAAGTCGTCTAGCCAGTTGGGGTTGGCTTTACGCTCTGATAAAAGCCAAGAATTAAATGACAAAAGTGTAAAAGAATCAAGAAAGAAGAGACAATTACTAGGTACCTGAGAGAGGAAGTCTGCCAGTCATGTAATCATCCGGGGTCAGAGGTCCGCCGGGTGTCCGTGGGACAAAGAGCGGCGGCTTTTCAACAACAAGTTTGGAACCTTCCATGTCACTTCCACTAAGTTGCAGGGCCTTCTTCTTTGCGTCTTCTCCATAAATGGAAACAAAGATGCCTCTGTCACCAACAACAAAAAAAAAAAAGTGCTTTAGTTAATAGCATAAATTTTAGGGAAATTAAAACAACATGTCACAAGGAAGATGGCACAAACTCGGTGTGATCACAAAATTCCACCTCCATGACCTCTCCACATGAGGAGAAATGTTTACGCAACGCGCTCTTGATAAAGTGACTAGGAAGCGAGGGGTCATATCCTTTAACCATCACCGTTTTGCTCCTGCATGCAATAATTTTTTGCATATCATCAACACATGCATCTTTACAGATACAAAAGAATCTGCCAAAACAATTGATCAATTTTTTACCGGCAGAAACGATCGTTTTTAACTGATTTCAAAGCCCTTCTGAGACTCCTTTTCAAGGGCAGCGATGGCGCAGTAACAACTATCTTATGTCCATTTATCTCACTTCCACTACGCTGCAGCGCCTTCTCTCTTGCGCAATCTCCCCAAATTTCTATGTAAGCAACACTGTAATAAAAACAAGTTTCTAGCTAAAGAAAGCTTTGCAAAAAAAAAAAAACAAAGCATATACGAGGTCAAAAACAAGCACACAAACCTTTGGATAGTAGGGCGGATAGTCAAGAGGAATACAAACGGACTTGATCTTTCCACATGAAGAGAAATGATCTCTCAACGCGCCCTCCAAACAAATCACACGTTTGTTCGGCGTCCAGGGCTTAGGAACCGAAACGTCAAATCCCTCAGCTACAACGAGGACTCGTTTACTGCAACAATTTGCATAACATTAACTAATCTCATTAACACAATTGAAAACTGAAAACAACAATTTATAGATAACAAAATCTCAACAACAAAACGGAAATAAATTTACGTACCGGCTTCGTCCATCTCTCTCTTTAGCCCCGTTCAATTGCATCCCCTAAGCAAGGACACAAGATCTAATCAGAAGAAGATTCAACCCAAATTTTTCTAGGTTAAAAAGAGATCAATTAACAAGCAGTGAGAGTATTGTAAGAAGAAGAACAACAAACTAGGAGAAGAAGATTACTTCGACGGCTAGGGTTTTCTTCGAGATATTTTCCAGATTTAGGGATTCGGGGAAGAATGAGGAATACGACGATACTATGTGTGTCTATAAATAAATTATAAAATTAGGGGATGATCCGAAGAATGTTATGGCGAGATTAAATATGTGGGCACAAGCGGTAGCTTTGCTTCTGCATCACGTTAATTTCGTTGTTATGTTAGGGTTTGTCTTTGGGAAAGTTAGGTCTTACGAGTTTATTACGATTTTTTCTTGTATCGGTAACTCGTTTTTTGGTTATGTACAGTAAAACCTCTATAAAGTAATAACGTTGAGACCACAATATTTTATTACTTTAGCGAGATTATTAATTTATCGAGGGATAATTAAACCAAAAACTGAATTCGGGACTTGAAAATTCTATTCATTTATCGAGGTATTACTTTATCGAGTATTACTTTATAGAGGTTCTACTGTAAATACGAAAGCTACTCTGTTTATCCTAAATTTTTTTTTTTTTTGATAAAGGATTTACTAGAGATGTTTGAACAAGTAGCCTCAAACATAAGCACGATCCAAGTAATCTCTGGTAACATTACCTTCTCGTCTACTGTGCACTCCTCATCCACAAATGGAATATTCTTCTTTTAAAAACATCTTCCCTATTTGAAGATCATCCTTCTTCATCTCAGACAAGATCAGCAAAGCCTTTGTTGTTAGTCTGGTATCTGTTCTCTTTCAGCTTTCTCAATATGGTACTTTCTGGTCTTTCATGTTGGTGATATGCGTCTTGATTAAAGGTCTAAAACTCCAAGCAAGATTCTCTTGCTTTTGTTGTTTAACAAGACTTTTGGTTGTATTGTATGCTTTGTCTCACTGTTTCTGTTTCTTCTCAATATGCATTATATACTTTTTTCACATTGGTTACATAGTTCTCAGTTCACAGGGTTAAAGTTATTCATAAATATTGTACTCAAAGTTAATAATGATACTATACGAAACGAATAGAATTACCAGCCTCTTAACTAATACATTGTAAATACTGTACTCCTAACTAAAAAGACACAATCCCTAGAAATCATTTTCAATATGGTTTTATATTCGCACACATACATATTTAGCCTACTGCTGCCTTTGATAAATTATATAAAAACAAGTAAAAAGAAGAAGAAGAAGCCACATGTGAGGTATCATAAGACTTTTTCTTCTTCTTTCTCATGTTGTTGCTTCCTTCCTTTTATATGATTCCTGAAACTTTCAAAGAAGACAGAACAACAAAGACAACCCCAAAGCATCATGAAATAAACAGAAGTAAGCCAAGCCCATAGCCTTGGACCTCCAAGCTCAGCTAGCTCATATAAACAGATATCCACCTAAAAGCAGTCATAATTATAAATTAAATTTACAGTTATACTGGTAAAAACCTAAAAGCACCATTTTTTCTCGCACAATATGTGGTCTCGAGTTGGATGAAAATGACTCCTTTATCTTATGCATATCTCTTTCAAATATCATAAAATGCAGTAATGTAAGTGTGCATGAATGTGAGAAATCTGTTATAAGTTATAACATATCACATATGTAGGCAATTTATCCAAAGAAAACACACAAATAAGGGAAATTTAGAGAAGGCAAACAAAAAAATTAAAAACAGGAATAGTGTGGAAGTGGTCGGTCCAAAAAGGAATATTAAATTTTGGCTACAGAAAGGGGGTGAGAAAAGTGGGTGGTGAGGTAATAAATGAAACGCCACATGTAGAAGAGATGTCCTCTTATAATTATGTAGTTCCCGGTGGTTGCATTGCACCTCCACTTTACACTTATAATATTTCCTTCGACCCCGTGAACCGCATGATTCGTAACAATAATATGTATAGCTTCATCTGTTTATTTGAAGAAGATTTAGTAGCTGTAGACAATTAGGTTTCAAGGTGAAGATTATACTTTAGAGGTCACCTTACACCCCTTAATTAGAGAAAGGTGAAGACTTATTACACTTAAATCACTAGTTGGTTACAACCACTACCATTAAATAATTGTCTATGATGATAAATATGTTATTGTCAATAAATACAATAAATCTTGACCTTCTTTTCCCCAAAGTTGTATCTACAACGGTAACTATGAAATCCTACTAAAAAGTTATTGTAAATCTTTTTAGAGACGTTCTATATGGCATGGTAAATTTAGTCAAACATTATGCAACCATGCTAACTATCTCATCATGCGAAATCTTATACTTTTCTTCCTAAGTTTTTGAACGATTAATCAAACATTCCGAGTAACACGGAGTCTTCACTTTCTTCGTTGTGAAGCTAATTCATGTGTCTTGTGTAGTGTTTCTTTTGTTTTTCTCTTTCTGTTTCGATCGGTTTGTTCCAACTTGTTGTCTTACTGATTCGTGAAGCTTTCACATTAGATAAAAACCGGTTTTTGGCTACAATTTGGCTAGTGTCAAACAAATCGGCTACAAATAAATCTGTTTTTGAAAGTAATTTATCAAACACATGGAGCATTTGATTTTTGAATACGAAAAAAGTATATTTGAATGATACACATGGAAATCCATTGGAATTACGTACACACTTAGAAATGAATGTTTGGTGTGGATTATAACTAAATGGATGTTAACTAATCTGTTTGTTCGTCACAGTCTGGTTAGGAACACGTAACACTTGCCACACTACAACTCTCAAAGTCAAATTCGTATCTTTTGCTTTATTTCTTTAACTACTACTAAGTTTGCAAACATGAATCTCATATATATCAAATTTATAGAAAAATACATTCAAGCAAAAGAACAGTATACTACAATTTTATTTTTTATATATACATAGTGAGAAAGATAACAATGATTACCTTGAGTAATATATTAAAATAAAAAGCCAATAGATATGATCTGATGCTATCTAATTAGGTAATTTTTGTTTGTGAACATTTCCTTTACAGTATATAACTATGTGTGTGCGCGTACAGTACACGAATAGTGTTGCAACGGAAAAGTATAACTTTTTCATTTTCAAGTTTTCCAAAGATTTGGTGCATTTCCAACATACATTCTGGTTCCCCTCAATCTTTTTAGTTTATTCAAATAAAGAATTCGAATAAATTTACTCACGGTCAAACACACTTAGAGAGACTCTTCTACAGTCAATTAAAGTATGATAAACTGTTTGATCTTTATAGTAGTGATCTCAATTAAATAAGTTTCTCTGTTTTAAAAGTCGCATTGTGACTTTGATAATCGAATCAAATTTAAAACTATACAGCTTAAACTTATAGTATCATTTTGCTAGTTGACTCGATTCTATAGTGCTAAGTTAATAATTTATAAATTAACAAAATATTTTGAGTACAGTATTATTAAATTTTAGAGTTCATATTTTTCGAAACCGATAATTTTACAATTCAACAAAAATGTACGAATTTTGAAAAAGAACAGGTTTAAAAATTCCATTTGTTTGAACTGGTCTCAATGAAGACCACCTACAACACTCTAGTTTAAAAGTATTTTCTGCAATTGATTTTGAAGTATGTGTTTTTTTTGGCAATATATTGTGGTATTTCCAGTCATCGAATTGTATAATTTGCTTTTTGTGCAATTAATATCGATTCCGTTGACTGCAAGCAAATCCTTCTTCCCTTTCTGTTTTTATGTTAGCTCCGGTTTTGTCCTTAAGAGTGCTTTTTCTTTTATCATTCGTTCATTTATTCGCATTTTCCCAGTTTCCACCAACCTTTTCCATATTATTCCAAGCTCCATAGTCGCCGGAGATCTCTCTCTTCCTCTCTCACATTTCTTTAATGGTTTTTTAGTCATCTCAACAGCTTAATGTCGACCAAACTAAGTACTATTGTTCTTGGCCTGATTTTCTTCACCGCCACACCATTTTTCGGCGACTGTAGAACTCTTTCCGAGAAACATGATCACAACTCTTCATCCCTTAATGGCTTTAACTTCCAAGATTCCATGCGTTTCAGTTCCGTTTCTTCTTCCACAAGCAACCATTGCGGTTTCTCCTCCACAGACCATGATCCCGACAAGGATCAAACCGGAGAACCGGTGAAGCTTCAAATAGAAACAACGAGAACAAAGCATTCAGTTGTCGATCTCAAAATCCAAGACCTCACAAGAATCCAGACGCTTCACGCACGGGTCAAGAAAAGTCAGAACGAGAAAGTTCAAAAACAAACCACCTCTGTTCTTTCTCCGGTGAGAGCTCCAGACGTTTCACCGGGTCAGCTAGTGGCGACACTCGAGTCCGGTATGACGCTCGGTTCCGGCGAATACTTCATGGACGTACTTGTAGGGACACCACCAAAACACTTCTCACTGATTCTTGACACAGGAAGTGACCTAAACTGGCTCCAATGCCTTCCTTGCCACGACTGCTTCCACCAAAACGGTGCGTTTTACAACCCTAAAACGTCTGCTTCATTCAAAAACATATCATGCAACGACCCTAGATGCAGCCTCATCTCATCACCAGACCCTCAACCACAGTGCGAATCAGATAACCAATCCTGCCCTTACTTCTACTGGTACGGAGACAGATCCAACACAACCGGAGATTTCGCCGTTGAGACCTTCACCGTTAACCTCACAACCACCGAAGGACGAAGCTCAGAGTACAAGGTTGAAAACATGATGTTTGGGTGTGGACATTGGAACAGAGGTCTCTTCAATGGCGCGTCGGGTCTTCTCGGTTTAGGAAGAGGACCTCTCTCGTTTTCTTCTCAGCTTCAGTCTCTCTACGGCCACTCCTTCTCCTACTGCCTCGTCGACAGAAACAGCGACACTAACGTAACCAGCAAGTTAATCTTCGGAGAAGACAAGAACTTGCTCAACCACCCAAATCTTAACTTCACTACACTCGTGAACGAGAAGGAGACGTTTTACTACGTTCAGATCAAATCCATACTAGTCGGCGGCGAAGCTCTTGAGTCCATACCTGAAGAAACATGGAGAATCTCATCAGATGGTACCGGTGGAACCATTATCGACTCAGGTACAACTTTAACCTACTTCGCAGAACCTGCTTACGAGATCATCAAGAACAAGTTTGCAGAGAAAGTGAAACACAAGTACCCGGTTTTTCGAGACTTCCCGGTCCTAGATCCTTGCTTCAACGTCTCTGACGTAGAAGGGAACAAGAACAAGAACAACTTCCATCTCCCTGAGCTAGGGATTGCTTTCCAAGACGGCGCCGTTTGGAACTTCCCGGCAGAGAACACATTCATTTGGTTGAGTGAGGATTTGGTCTGCTTGGCCATTCTTGGAGCTCCTAAATCATCCTTCTCAATCATCGGAAACTACCAGCAACAGAATTTCCATATACTCTATGATACAAAGAGGTCTAGACTAGGGTTTGCACCCACAAAATGTAACCTCTTGTAGATTATTATACACGTAAAAGTAAATGTAACATGTAACAAACCAAGATTTCAAAGAAAAGAGTAATGCATTTTGACAAAATTATGATTAAATTTATATACTTTTATTTATGGGAAGAGTTGAACATAGCCAGTTAAAATAGCGATGCCTAAGATGAACAAAGGAGGGAGGAGAACAAAGGCGCCGATAGTGGCGAAGAAAACAGAGTCGTTCCTCTGAGAGACTTCGTTAAGATAGCTTTGCCTCTTTATGTTCCTTTTCTGAGAAGTTGTCAAGAATTTAGGACTCACTTTCTTCAAGTTTTTGCCTAGAGGAATCATGAAATCGTCGTCTCTGTTACCAACAAGCCCAGCTAATTGCTCACGGATTGTGAATCCTCCTCTCGACCCACCACCATCATCACTTAAGTACCCTACTGATTGATTTTAAGATGTAATAAAAAAAAATCGGAAAAATTATTCTTAAGTGTAAATATAAGTCACATACCATCGCTTGTGGAAGTTAGCTGGTCGAGGAAATCTAGCTGTGTGCGTGCTGATGATGACGAAGAAGAAGGACCTTCAAGGAAACGAATTGATTGTTATCAGAGCTCAATAGATGAAATTTGTTTCACCGAAGAACCAATTTGGGAAATTCGAAATTAAAACCGGTTTAATTGAGTGAATCGGGAAGAGGAATCGGAAAAGAAGAGATCGGATCATGTACCGGAGAAATAAGAGGAAGAAGGATCGTCGTTTTCGGTGACGCCGCTTTCGCTTCGCTCTGAACGGACACGTGTTGTTGCTTGAGGAAGAGAGAGTTGGAGAAGAGGGTGTCTCTGTTTGGATCGAGACGAGGAGGAAGAAGAAGGATTCGAGATTGGGTGAAGAGAAGCGGAGAAGAAATTCAAGGCCATTGATCTGAGTAAGTGCTGACACTTCCACTGCAAAATTCGATTTTTTTTGTTCTTCAGACTTTACTGTTCTTCTGGGATTCCAAAATTTCAATTTTCTTTTGTGAGGCCAGGAAATTTTTTGAGTATTATTTTGATTTTTTTTTTAGTTATGTCTGACAAAAATTAACCGCCTCAATTTGAAAGCTTAATTTACACGTGGCAACTCTGTCTGAACCATTACTTTATGAAAAGCAGAAAATGAAAAAATCGACTTCACTGGGGATCGAACCCAGAATCTCTGGTTTCGTAGACCAGCGCCTTATCCATTGGGCCATGAAGTCTCTTTTGTTACAGATTTAACGTATAAGATATTTATCATATACTGGCCGCAATTAAACACCAAGAGAAGCAATAGAGGCATTATTTTTTCTTACGTTTACTTATAGATTCGTTTGTAAATTTCGTATATAGGAAGTAGATTTTGATGTCATACGTTCCAAACAGCTAAGGCAAATGAGATGATGACAGTCAAGTATTTCTTATCTAGTGACGATATTCAGTTTGTGCAAATTTCGAGGGAGTTATGAGTTGAAAAATGTGAGAAATTTTGTATGATCATTTTGTAAATTTGCATATAAAGTTTATTTTCTCTATTGTGTATTCATTGATTTGGAGTTTTTAACTAATATATTTTTTATTCAAACTGTTTTAAGATTTATACGATTAATAGTCTCTAATATTCAAGAATTTCAACACTTTATAATAATAGTTGCTAGAGGACTTGATTTTTTCGTTTTCCGTTGAAACACTTCATCCTACTCGTTACGTCTTTATTTTACTTGTTACGTCTTTGAAAAATGCCCAAAACTCAATTTTAAAATTTGATAAATAAAATTTTGATGAAGTAATTTGAATTTGTATTAGATTCTAGTGGCACTTGTAAAACTCACATATAGGTATCAATAATAGCATAAATTTGCACACATGGATAAATATTATAACATACAAAATGATCAAAGAGTAATCATTCTTCTTATTCACTTTCCATCACATTATCTCCCTTAATTCTCATTATTTTTAATTTTATGAATCACTTAAATTTGGGAGGAATAATAGTTAGGACGAATCTAGCTCAAAGGAGGTGTAAGACACGTGAGAAGCACGTGATCACATGGCGGCAACAACAAATATTCAGGAAATTGGCCATTCTTTCTCTGCAAAAACCTGGCCATTGCCTGTAACCCCACCCACCATCGACCAATGAGACATCGACCATAATGCAAGTGCAACTTTTAAATAATTAGTGAGGGACTTACCATATCCAATGAAAACCATCTTTTAAAAAATAAATTAAAATGAATATATAAGCATGTAAAAAGCTGAATAAGATTTCTTTTATTTTTGCAAAAGAAAAAAAGAAAGATAAAACTTTATCCAAAAGTTATGCTTCAAGTAAAGCCTCCATCAAAGGCTTTTTTTCTCTTCTCTTTTTAATCTCTCTCTTATGAATTCATTATCTCCAAGAAAGGCACATTGGTTTCATACTTATGAGTTTGCAACATTCCCCAAAACAAATATATAAATTTCTTAATTCAAGAATATAAAAGTAATTTTTTTCAACAAGCGTTATAGATAGAATCCAAAGTGTGACATGTGAAACCAAGAAAAAAAGGAATACCGATAATAATAGACCTATAAATTCCAAAGCCTTTTGTTTGGGAATTCCCTCTTCTGTGCTTTGCCTCCTATCTCTTCTATCCACTCCAATTCTCCAAACTGTAAAAATATTTTATTTATTTATTTTTCAACTAGCTATAAATGTTACGGTTGACAAATCCACTGTGTTTGCTTTACTTTCACACTGCTCTCACTCCGCTCTCTCCCTATCTCTCTCTTGTTTCCTCCATTGCAAACAAAGCTTTCTTTCCAGCTTTAGCACAGACCCACCAACCATTTTCACCAAAACTTTCTATTTTTCATTAACCCATTACTGTGTATTTATTATACATACACATACACTTCCTTGAAATATCATTACTTTACTCTTTTTTTGGAAAATCATAATCCTAAACCGAGTTCCTTCTGGGTAGGCTCAAAGCTAAATCTAGGAACTTTATATCCAATTCATCATTGGTATTATATCCATGCCAATTTGCTTTCTGTTGTCTATTTCATTCTCTTCCTCGTTTGCTTCAAGAACAAAATAAAAAATGGAGCCTTTCTTCTTTCATTGTTTCTTCTGTTCTGAGATGAAGATAAACCAAAACGGCAAAGCTTAGTCACCACCCCCCGCAGACACTCTAAGGTAAATTTAGTATCTTTTCATTTTTCATGAGACAAATGAAAAAAAAAAACGTTTTTTTCTTCCTGAATGTTTTCTTTCTATAGCATGTGACTGATTCTCTGTAGATTGTCTCTTGCTTCAAACTTAAGTGATGCTTTTCGATGGTTTAAAAGCCAAGATTCCTCTGTTTCCAAGCTCCCCTCTTTTGTGGGGACACGTCATGCCCATAACTTGTTTGTTGATATGCCGCTAATTAAATTACTGTAACGGATGAAAGTATGAGGCTTTTTTACTAATACCGATAGCTAAATGTCAAATGTTGGACTTGTTGCTTAGGTGGTTCTAGTGAAGTAGCAAGAGAAGCAAAAAAGGACGATTTTTGAAACTAGAAACAGAGGACCAGAGAGATGGCACCTGAGAGTTCTTTAAACGCTGAGATGTCAAAGAAGATATCTTTCTTTGGTTTGAAAGGCTTGAAACTGTGGGTATGGGTTTGTTTGATAGTTGGAGTATTCATAGTGATGATTCTCTGCATCTTGTCTCTGTGGATCACATTCCGCCGGAAATCAAGAAGATCTTCTTCAAGCAAGTTTCCTTTCAACCAAATCCCACGTGTCTCTAAAGACATCAGTGTCGACAGGGCTGGGCTTCAGAATCCGAATCCTCACCCTGAGAGTTTATATATCTCAGTGAATGATAAACCCACGATGATGTCTCACTTGGGAAGGACCAAGTCTAGTGATAATGATACTCTGAGTCGATGTAGCTCTGTGAATCACCATAGCTCTCATTCCGGTGATGAGGAAGGAGGAGGCTTTGGAAGTGTTGGGAGACAGTATGGATATGGAGGAGCTGTAACTGCTTCTCCTTTGATTGGTTTACCGGAAATATCCCATCTTGGTTGGGGACACTGGTTTACTCTTAGGGATCTTGAGCTAGCTACCAACCGTTTTTCTGCTGAGAATGTGCTTGGAGAAGGTGGTTATGGAGTAGTTTATAGGGGTAAGCTCGTCAATGGTACTGAGGTTGCTGTCAAGAAGCTTCTGAACAATCTGTAAGTTTTCAACTAAAGAGCTAAATGTTTGTGAATCCTCTTATTCGATTCCTTAATAAGTGTTTTTGTTCTGTAGAGGGCAAGCTGAGAAGGAATTCCGAGTAGAAGTTGAGGCTATTGGTCATGTACGACACAAGAATCTTGTTAGGCTTTTAGGATATTGCATAGAAGGAGTTCATCGGTGAGTCCCACTTGTCTTTTATACTTCTGAAGGAAAATGAGAATGATCTAAGTGTGTTTTAATTATGATGATGGAACGCAGGATGCTTGTTTATGAGTATGTGAATAGTGGAAACTTAGAACAATGGTTACATGGAGCTGAGAGGGAAAATGGGACTCTCCCTTGGGAAGCACGGATGAAGATACTTATTGGTACAGCACAAGCGTAAGTGGTCTGAGAACAGTTTATTAGCTTTTGTTGTATATGTTTGAATGCTTGGGATGATGTTTAAAGTCTCTGCAAAATTTGTACAATTTTTTTTTGCAGGCTTGCTTATTTACATGAAGCAATAGAGCCAAAGGTGGTCCACAGAGATATAAAAGCAAGCAATATATTAATTGACGATGAGTTTAATGCAAAACTCTCTGACTTTGGGTTAGCTAAGCTCTTGGACTCGAGTGAGAGTCACATCACTACCAGAGTCATGGGAACCTTTGGGTAATGTCCAAAAACTTTTGTACCTTCTTGAAGCAATTATTGTCTTGTCTTTACAAAAAAAAGGCCAATCATTTCTGTTTATTTGGTTCTTGGTTGCAGATATGTGGCGCCAGAATATGCTAATACAGGTATGTTAAACGAGAAGAGTGATATATATAGCTTTGGTGTATTGCTTCTTGAAGCTGTTACTGGTAGAGATCCGGTTGATTATGGACGTCCTGCTAATGAGGTACTAATTTTAATTGTATCGGTATAGTTAATGAATGAATGAATATGCTCATTTCTTGGGGTTTGTTGTATATTGGTGGCAGGTGAATCTTGTGGAATGGCTAAAGATGATGGTTGGAACAAGAAGAGCTGAAGAAGTTGTGGATCCAAGGCTTGAACCTAGACCGAGTAAAAGTGCTCTGAAACGTGCACTTCTCGTTTCGCTTAGATGCGTTGACCCTGAGGCAGAGAAGCGTCCTAGAATGAGTCAGGTTGCGAGGATGCTTCAATCCGATGAGCACCCTTTTCGCGAGGTAATCTTTAAACAACAAATTTGTTTATATGTTTACGTATTCATAATCAAACTCAAACAAAAATGTTCATGTTTTGGCAGGGAAGGAGGAACAGAAGGAGCAGAAGCGCGAGCATAGAGATCGTTGAGACCAAAGATGGATCTCTTGATCCTACCGTTCCAGAGACTCACAATACAAAGCCTGAGAAGACATGTGAATAAGAGAAATAGATCCGTTAGCTTCTTTAAGTCTTGAAATGCTCTGTTTTTCTTTAGCAACTAATTGATGAACAGTTTACGTTGAGTGCTTATGGAGAGAAGACACCAAGATGAAAATATATCACTCTCAGATGATTAAAAAGAGTCTATGGAGTAGTGACTGATGCAACAATCGTAGGAGAGAATTTGTTTTATGTTACTTTTATTCTCTTAAAAACGAAACATGTATTGCTAATTTTGGATTAAGAATTATAAATGTTTTTGACAAGTATTACTGTCTTGTTGTTTGTACGAAATTCTGTCTAACCAAAGACAACATCAACATGTGCTCAAGATTTCTGTGATGGTTGTTGTGAGGTCAGAGGAAGAAGTCGTAGATTTAGGGGCATGACGACAGAGGAAAGAGACAAAACAATGTTCAATTTTAGTGGCGAACTCAATTAAAGACATTATAAGTATTAACCATGACAGAAAAAAAGAGTACGAAATTGAATAATTAGTTAGTTACTGATAAATAATTGAAAAGCCTAACGTCTATAAAAACCACTCGCTTTTTCTTGCGTATCTGTCAGATGCTGCGTCGTGTTTGTCGTATTGTTTTTGTGATTCTCACTTCGTTTAGCATAACCATTATAAAATTTTGGAATTAGATTCTTTGACACGTTCCCATCACGTGGCCAACTGAGGATGATGACTTTGAAAGTGGCAATCAAAATTCATAATCGAAAATAGGCTAACAACTTCGAGGAATGAAGATTAAGCTTTTCTTAACTGTTATTTTCTTCATTACTGACTCAGATTGCCACGTAAGCTGTGACTTCGTTTTGCCTTGAGCGGAAGTGTTAAGAAAATTTAAATGAAACGACGCCGTTTCAAGTATAACACTTTCGACATACACTCCCGCTCCTTCTCGACCTAAAATCGATTTGGGGATTTAGGGTTCTTAGTTTCAGTCGCTCACTTCTCCTTTGTGTCTTCCTCTTCCCTGAGCTCGTAGTCTATCAAAAACATGGCGGACGTAGAAGAAAACCCTAATCTGATCTACCTACATCCCAATCTACTCGAAGACATCTTCCTTGAACTGCCGCTGAAATCAATCCTCAAATTCAAAGCCGTCTCGAAACAATGGAGGTCGATTCTGGAGTCTAGGAGCTTCGCGGATACGCGTATGAAACTTGAGAAGCAGAAGAAGCCGAAACTCCTCGCCGTCGAAAACCGCCGCTCCAATCCGCCATTCGAAGTCGTCGCAGTTTATGTAGACCGAAAACCGCCGCTCCAATCCGCCATTCGAAGTCGACGCAGAGGAGGAGATCGAGATGGTCTACATAAACTGCGACGACGCCGCTTCAAGACCTTCGATTACATGTGACGGTTTGGTTTGCCTCCCCGTACCAGGCTCCGTCAACATTCTGAACCCTGCCACCGGAGAATCCGTTAGTTTCCCTTCCGGCCCAGAGCCAGTCAACGAACGCTACCGTTCCGCTCTTTTCCATGGTAAGCCTTTTCACTTTTCAAAATCACACATTTTGATTTTGATTAACTCTTTTATCTGAATGCGTTGATGAGAGAGAGAGAGAGAGTCGTTCAAATTTTCACAATCTCAGATAAATGGTGTGTCAACTTCCCTGGGTTTTGGGCGATGGGATTCGGTAGGGACGTTGTCAACGGGAGCTACAAAGTTTCGAGGATGTGCTTCGAGCCGTCCCATCTCTGCGAGATTCTTGATGTGAGCGTTGGGGAGTGGCGGAGAGTGAATCCTCCTCCGTGCAAAGTGGAACCGAGAAGGAAGGGCTCACTCTACTGGATAGAGATGAGGTGTAGTGACAGTGTCCTCGCGTTGGATCTCCACACGGAGGAGTTTCGACTTGTCCCGTATCCACCAACTAGATCGGAAGCAAATCAGCTGGTGAACCTTGAAGACCGTCTAGCGTTAGCCATACCGTATACAAAGCCTGAATGGAAGTTTGATGTTTGGGTCATGGACGAGCAAGAGGAGACGTGGAGCTTGGCTTACTCCATTCGATTAGCTGGTAGTGGAGTTTTTTCTTATGTACGGCGGGATGTTTGGTTCAGGCCTGTTGCAGTTACTAAGGGAGGGAATGTGTTCTTCCACGACAATGAAAAAAGATTGTTTAGGTATGATACCGAGACTGACCAAGCTAGGTGCATCGCTACAGAGATCTCTGTTGTGTCTGGTTTTGTTGAGAATGTGGTCTCGCTTCGTCCGTCTGCTGGTTCAGAGACGTCAGAGTACAGCTGTGGGTTTCAGTATCAAGACCTGTTCCGCAGACAAGAATCTGAGAGAGCCCATAAGTTTAGTTGGATCAAATCCCGAATCCCAGATATTTTGCTTACCACCGGCGCCGGCGTAGTCTCTCTATTCATGTTCCACTATTTTGCTGTTTCTTCTAGGAGAAACAAAAACAACATTAGTTTAACCCAGACCCGAAAAGCGGAAATACCCGTAACCGATTGGTTTATTGTATTTGGGAGGTGATGGAGCATGTGTGGTTGAAACATATGTTGAGTGTGCTTCAATGATGTTCTTGAGCAGGAGATTCATACAAACGTTTTTTGTTCTTCCCTGAATGTATTTCTTTTGATGTCATCTATGTGATTGAATCTCTGTAGATCGTCTCTTGCTTCAAACTTAAGTGATGTTTTTTCTATTGCTAAATGGCTTTGGATAAAAACGAACGATAGAGTATGTGTGATGCTTTTGAGCAGGATATTCATCGATCAGTAGTGATTGAGAATCTTTAATTCATATCCGGTGAATGGATTGCAAAAGGTGCCACTGGTGGAAGAAGGTAGTTGCTACTCTTATCAAAGTTATGAATGTGTTCATTTTTTGGAATCTTGAATGGATTTGTAAAACTTGGCGGAAGAATCTTGTTTGAATGGCTAAAAGATGATTGTTGGAACAAGAAAGAGCTCAAGACGTTAAGAGATGAGACACAAATGCCAATGGACCCTGCTCTGCTTCTTCCTTGCACACAAGTTTGGTGCTTTATCTCATAAGTACCGGGATATAATGTTGACCAGCATCTATGTTTCCTGTAATAAAACCATACAAGTACACCATCTTAATGCTGCTTCTACTCGTTAAAAGCTAACCAATACTGACCCGGTTGACTTGGATTCTTTCCCATTTCCACAATATTCAATCTCAACCTGAAGCAAAAATATTCACTTTACTTGTCTTTTTTTGTTTTGTCAACTCATACTTGTCTTGGCTAGAAAAAAAAATAAGATTGTATATTGATCGATTTTGTTCATCTGTTTTTATACGCTACACAATCAAACAAGTAAATTAGGTTGCAGGAGTGCGACAACCACATTGTTTGTTGCCTCACTATTGCCTATACCGCCAATAAACAGAGTTGAATAAGAAAGAGATGAGACACAAACGCTCTGTCTGTGTTTCTTTCTTTGCACACAAGTTTGGTGCTTGCTGAGAGAAGGCCAAAGAAGAGATCTGTCTCTGGTATGTCTTACAAACAACGTCAAGATATGTCTTTGGTATCATCTTACAAATTTGATGCTCAAAGATTGTTGGACAAGTAACCCAAGCAAAGAAGAAATAGATGATGATTTACAATTGAGATGTCGAAGACTTTTAAGCAGCAAAAAATACTCCGGGCTGAAAACTTAACATATATTAGTATAAACTAGAAATACTTCTTTGAATGTGAATATTCTACCTGTAACTATGCTCGAGGCATCCCTTTCAAGAAACACGTTCCTTTTTACAAAATTGTAGTGGTTCTAAAATTGTCCTTGCATAAAGCAATACTAAACTTTCCCAAATTCTAACCATATTTTAATTAAATAGCATTAGTTAATAAAATTGATCATAACCAGACAAAAAACTAAAATAAACTAAGATAAGTGATGTCTCCACTAAGCATAGAAATACTAAATTCCAGTAACCTTAATTTTTTCATAACCAGACACAAAAGTTATATAAAATAATATAAGGGATGTTTATGTCTCCACTTCGCATAGAAATACTAACATAATGCAATACTTACAACTCTGAAGCCCAAAGATTTAAGAACTAGAGACAATCTAGATTAAGGCAAACAAAATGCAATATTTGACTTGTGATGCCATCTGCTTTGTATTAAGCTGAAACGACAAAACAAATAGTTTAGGGTTAGATCAATGAAAAACAAGCACATAAAATATTTTTATATTGGAATTCTATTTACCACAAATCAAAGATCAAATCTTATCTTCTTCCAAATTTCGTCTTCCAAAAAAAAGGTTATACCTGTTACAAAAAAAACATATATATAAACTCCGCAATAATAAACATAAAAATGCACAAAGACAATAATAAGCCCATAATAAAATGCATAATCATACCAGAAACTGAAACTAGCAGGACTTTGTCCATCTTTAACTGTTATAAAAAGACATAGAAAATAATTAGTAAGTCTGATTCTGAGTTCTGACTATAAGAAAATGAATTGGGACAAGAAAAAGAAACAAACTATTACTTAGGTTGCATATAAACATAATGTCGGAGAATGTGCGAGGATTCTTCTTGCGCCACTTATCAAACTTGAGAACAACAACAGCGCCACTACCTATTACACCTATTACGCCTATTACTCCACAGTCAAAAATTTCTCTCTTATTGTTCCAAAGAAAGAGAAGACCTAATAAAAACAGATTTTTAATCATTTTCATAACGCATAAAGGATAATACATAATTTTAAAAGATTCTTAGTACCTTTCTTAATGGGATGAGGTCTATGTACACTCGTCCGGGCAATGAAGTCCCTCATTACCAGTTGTGTGTACTCTTTGACCAGCTCAGCAGGAAGGAGAGACACCAGTGAGGACGGGCTCAAGTAGCGGTTGCACTCTTCATTAGGGCAAGAAAGGATCAGAATCCTTGCATTAACCTGCCCTAGAACACAACCTAAAAGAGATTTAGAAAGAAAAAACATGATTAATTAACGCATATAAACCGCCAACTGAACTGAAGATAT